GCGTGACTGTCGAGCAACGCCATGGCCCTCCCCCGCACGGGTGGCGGTCATGGCGGACCCGGTGTACCCGCCCCACCTCGATGGGGTGCGGGCCGTGTGGTTCGCCCGCGGGGCGGCCCACTTCCTGTGGCACCGCCCAGGGATGTGGCCAACGGGCTGCCCGTGCAATCGGGCGTGGCGACGGCGACGCGGGGTCGCGCCCTTACGGTGGCAAACCGCGGCCTCTCGTGTGGCCCCTGGGGCCACCGAGTGGTTGCGGTACTGGTGGGCGCCGTGCTGGGCCGAGTTGCCCCACCCAGGCGAGCAACCATCCGATGCTTGGGTTTTCCCCGCGTGGCGGGCGTGGCCCATGCCACGTGGTGGGTCCCGTTGTATCGGGACGGGGACGCGGCGATGGATGAGACAGACCCCGACGCCGTGGCGATGCTGTGCCTGGACGTCCACGCTTAAGCAGCCACCCGCCATTGATCTCAGTGCCCCCAATAGGGAACCGCCTCGCGGCGTCTGAGGACCGCGTCGTTGAGCCGCCACGAAGGCAAAAAACAGACAGAGAGAGAAAAAGAAAGAGAGAGAAAGAGAGAGAGATGGGGAGAGCGGGGAGAAACGGGAGGAACGTCCTCTTGTTCCGATTATTTTTCCTCCTCCTCCTCCTCCTCCTCCTCCTCGCAGTGGCTCGGGCGGGCGCCCTGTTCTGTCGCGCGCCCATGGGGTCTCGGCCCATAGGGTCTCGGCCCACCAAGTCCTTGCCCTAGGGCCTCACGTCATATATAAGGTATCGGCCGCATGTACATATATGATGTGAGGCGCAACATATCGGTTTAAGTGTATGTAATATATATATATATATATATATATATATATCATTGTATACTACAGTTACATATGCGATATTATGATGTATATATATATATATATAGATCGCCAACATCATCGGCATCATCATATCATCATTTTGTATTAACAGATGTTGTACGTCACAAGCGCAAGCGGGTCAAAATGCGCATTTTGCTTTTCCTCTGCCGGGTTGAAATGCGCAGATCGTCGCTGTCATCTTCGCATTTTTCCCAGACTGCCCGTCGCGATCAACGCCCGCGAAAAATGCGCGGATGCGCGGACGAGGGGGGCAAAACGCGCAGATGCGCATTTTTTGTAAAAATGCGCGTTTTTACCATAAAATGCGCGGATCCACCCTCTGGGTAGAAGCGGCACTTGCCCGCGGTCTCCGAACCTTTGGGCCCGCGCGCCACGGCCGCGTGCCAGGGCCCGTCGGGGTCGGCGAACCCGTCCGACAAAAATGCCGCCGACGAGGGCGTGGATCGCGACCTGGAAACCGCGGGCGCTCCGGTGTCAGCCCCGCCACCGCCGCCGCGGGACCTTCTAGTCGGTCTGCGCATGGTGACAAACGCTGGGTCGCCGACAAGTCGTGCACGAGGCAAGTCAGGGCGCCGCAGTTCATCACCCGGCCCAGCGCGTGTCACCCGAGGTGAACGCACGTCTTGCTTCCGAACTCCCTCTGGCACGTGTTGGCATGCTGCCGGCGCAGAGTCGCTGCCTTCTCTGAGCCCTTGGGATTAGACTCCCCCCCGTCCACGGACACCGCGCGGACTGGTTCGCAACGTTCCCAGTCGCGACACTTCCCCTGACAGCTGGTACATGGTGTCGCCCTCCTGCATGGAACAGGACGTCGTGGGCCATGCGTCGCTGGCGCGCAAGTTCCGACTTCGTCTCTGGCCGACTTGGGGTCCTTAAGCAGCTCCGCTGGGGTGCCGGGGGCGCTCCATCTGCCGCGCTGGTAGCCTCGCTGCCCGCGTCGCTTTAGCGACCCGCAGAGATTCGCACGCCCCTTCAAGCCTACGGCAGCGCCCGCGCGCCCGCGCGAGGCCGCCGATGACCCGACTGCCCTCCCGCGCCAGCAGGGCTTCGGGGGCGCGCGGATCAGCGCCTCCAGGTTGGTGTCCGCGTCGGCCGTGACATAACTCAACGCCGGCGCATGGAACGCGTAGTGGCCATCGTCGAGGCACGGCATCTCCCTGCAGAGGTGGGCCACCTCGTCCTGGGAGCCCTCCAGGAGATCCCGCAGACGTCGCGGGGTAGTCGCCAACACTTCCTTGAAGGGCCGTGCGACCGACCCCAGCCTTCTTGCACTTGATGCCTGCGCTCAGCGAAGGGCGCTCCACTTTGGCAGCAACGACGCCCGCCCTGATGATCGGGTAGAGCGGCACTTCGTCGGCTCCCTTCGCCCGCAGCTGCGCGTAGAATTTGTTATCCACGGGCGTGGCGGCCGCAGGCCCATGGACCTCAGTCACGACACCTTCATCCAATGCAGACGGGCCTGGCGCCTTCGCTGGGCAGCACCATCCGAACAGTCGCCCAAACCACCTAAGCGGCGTGCAAATCAACAGGCCGAACGTCGAGGCGATGGACTGAATGCAGTACCCGAAGCCGACCACCAGCGCCACGACCAGGACCTGCGAAGGTTGACCAGCGCCATGACCAACAGACCGCGTATCCCAAGGTATTGAGGCTGCTCCCGATGACGCTGCCGCCGCTCCATGCAACGTCGGCCCACCTGAACTCTGACACCGGCAGGTGCGTGAACCGCCCGCCCAGCCAACTGACCCCGACCTTCACGCCCCGAAACCGAACCAGCCGCGTTGACTCCTCGTCATCCTCTGTTTCCTCACGGGGCGGCGATGGGGGGCGCCCAGCACCTGACGTTTCGCGCTTGGCTGGTGGTTTTCGGCCCCGCCCTGTGACCCAGTCCCAGGCTGGGCTCCTCCTCCTCCGGGCGGCGCCTGACCCCTCAGGGTGCGGTCCTTCCTCGTGCCCTGCCTCGCTGGGTCCTGGCGCCTGCGTGCCCGCCCGCGGCTGTGCCCGGTGCTGGCGCCTGGGCGGCCGTCCGCCCCTTGCCTCGAGACGGCCCTGGCGGCCCACCCTGGGTGTGTGGGTGGCGTTGCGGTTCCTCCCTCGCCGCAGCCATGCCGCGGCGCCGCTGGTCCTCCTCCGGCGCCCGCAGCAGAGGAGGGCACGCTGCCCCTCCCCCCCTCAGCTGCCCACGTCGCGTCCGCGGGCTCGACATTGACACGCGGTTCCGATGGTACTGCAGGCGTGGCTGGTATCCTCCACCGCCACCCGATTTCCACCGCCGCGACGGCCCCGATGAAAATTGGTAGCAGGGCCATCATCAATGGGCCACCTCCTCCTCTCCTGGAGCAGCAGCCACTCCTCTGGCCTCTCCCTCCCTGGACTGGGCCTCCTGCCTCACTGCCGCGCCCAGGCTGGTAGCCCCGGGCGGGCGGCTGAGACCCCTCCAGCGTCAGCCTCCGGGGCCCCGACTGGCAGCCGCCCTGGACGCCCTCTGGGGGCCAGGCCGCTGCCCTTCGCCGGGCCGCCGCCGCAGGCAGCTCCGCTATCGCCCTGTGCGGCCCACGCCGCCCGAGCGCGCAGAGCCTCGGACACAAAGGCCCGAGAGAAAGAACGTGAGCCCCAAATGGGCCGCGGGCGCTCCCCCTTCCCAGGCACCCCCCACTGGAACGTTCCGTTCTAAGCTGCGCGCGAACTCCCGCCTCCTCCGCCTCCTCCTCCTCCTCCTCCTGCTCCTCCTCTTCCTCCTCCTCCTCCTCCTCCTCCTCCTCCTCCTCCTCCTCCTCCTCCTCCCCCTCCTCATCCTCATCATCGTCACCACCACCAACACCATTACCATCATCACATCATCATCATCATCATCATCATCATCATCATCATCATCATCATCATCATCATCATCATCATCATCATCATCATCATCATCATCATCATCAGCAGCAGCAGCAGCAGCATCATCATCGTCTTCATCATCGTCTTCATCATCATCACCACCATCATCATCACCACCACCACCACCATCATCATCATCATCATCAGCATCATCATCATCATCACCATCATCATCATCATCATCCTCATCATCCTCATCATCCTCAGCATCATCCTCAGCCTCATCATCAGCATCAGCATGAGCATGATCAGCATCAGCATCATCATCATCATCATCATCATCATGATAATCAGCATCATCATCAGCTTCATCATCACCACCACCACCATCATCATCAGCATCATCATCATCATCATCATCATCATCGTCATCATCATCATCATCATCATCATCATCATCATCATCATCATCATCATCATCATCATCATCATCATCATCATCATCATCATCATCATCATCATCATCATCATCATCTTCATTATCATAATCATCATCATTTCCTCCCGCTCCTCCTCCTCCTCCTCCTCCTCCTCGACGTCCTAGTATGTCCCCCTCTTCCTCTTGCTGCGCATCCTCATCCTCTGCTTCTTCCATCTCCGCCCACCTTCCCCCCCCGGATGGCTCCAGGAGGCCCCCGCGAGGCTCGCAAACCAACTCGCGTGGGCATCGGTTCCGGATGGGCTGGCGGGCATGGAAGAAGCGTCAAGACTTCCAGGGCGGCTGGGAACGGGGAGAACGCCGAATTGAGGCCGCGCGCAAACGAGGCTGACGCGGACCCGAAAAAACATACCGATCGCCCCTCCGATGCCACTCCCTAAGACAAAGGAACGCAAAAGGCGCGAGCGCAGCCGGTCGGAGAACAATGCCAGGCCAACGCGCGTGGCCGACGCGCCTCCTCAACGGCAGCCGGCACGAAAAAACGTTCGCCCATGACGCACACGCTTTGGCGCAGTTATTAACACACTGTGCCGCACCAAAGACGCCGACAGGAGCGCGGGACGCGCTGCCCTGCCTTGCAAACAGCTCGTTCACCGAACGCCGCGCGCAAGACAACTCAAATTGCGATGCGTGTAGATGTTATGTTTTGGAAGTGAGGTCTCTGCCCCCTCATGTTCCAACTTGGTAGAACACCCTGTCGATCTCGTGGTAACACAGAATCAATGATAATATTAATAATACGAATGGTAATAAGCAAACGATCGCACTACACAAATTTATAGCACCCGTCGATTTGATGTTTGGTTCAGTCGTCCGTACACGGGGCAATGCCGGCATGGTGCGACAGACGCAGTGCAGACAAGCTCCGCGGGAGAGAGGCAGACCACCGTTCAACTCGAATCGCAGACGGCCCCGATGATGAGGACAGCGTTATGGACCGGCGCCATGGTGCCTCCGCAGGACTGCGTGTTCGGCCGATTGTCGCCGCTGCAGTCGGAGGCGGGGTCGGTGCCTGCGATGTGCACGCGCGGAGGCAGCGGAGCTTCAGGCAGGAGGGGGAGGGGAGGCCGGGGACAAGCCGAATGCTGGTACCAATTTGCTCAAGTAGTGTCCATTCGCTATGCGATCGTCCTCCCCTATCCTATCCCGTTCCCTCCTCCCTCATCGGGAGAAGGAAACGCACCACCACCACCACCATGTGGAGGATGGAGGCAGAGGATGATCAGAGGTTTTGGTGTGTATTGTATCGATTCGGCCGCTCTCGCGGGGCCTCGTGCAAACCCGCATCATGCACACGAGCCAATCCTTTGAATCCACAGTGGCGGTGGTGGTGGCGCGCTGAGGGGGAGGAAGCGGCTGGACTTGAGCAGGGACCGACCGCCCCGCCATTCCTGTAGGCCTACCACGACATCTTCGTAGAACCCCAAACAGAAAATCGAAGAACACAAACATGTTCTTAGACAACCCCATCCGGCCAGAAATGTCCTAAGAACATGCCGGGCAAAACACAAAAAGGTTATGAAAACACCCTTTGGTTTAGGAGGCAACTACTGGGAGGGTACTCGTCGGAAAGATAAAAGAACATGAAGCACTTTTGGGGAGCTGTTACGCCAGAGTGGGCCTCGGATTCAGCAAGAGTAAGCTTGATTGAGCGGGGGGAAACTGGGATTCAGCCGGATTCCGGACCATTTTTTGGTCAGCGGCCGCGGGCGAGCGCGCCGGCGGCGAGCCAGGTCAAAGCGGGCTTCGCAGAGACTGACTAGGCAGAGGAAGCGCGGGACAAATAGAACAGAGCAACGCGCGAGGCGACAGCTAAACGCGGCCGAGGCCTCAGGTGGGTGGCTGAGGGGACTGAGACCCGGATCCCGGACCAGGGCAACATCATGATATTTTTGACCTCCCAGGCTGCGCAGCCGAACTTCGGTAGGCCTTCGAGCAGGCGGGGCCGGGCCGCCCCGCCGCGGCTCGCTGCACGGGCTCTCAAGCCGTGGGGCGGGGGGGCGGGAGGAGGAGGAGGGGGAGGAGGAGGAGGAGGAGGAGGAGGGGGAGGAGGGGGGAGGAGGAGGAGGAGGAGGAGGAGGGGGAGGAGGAGGAGGAGGAGAGGAGGAGGAGGAGGAGGAGGAGGAGGAGGAGAGGAGGAGGAGGAGGAGGAGGGAGGGGGGGGGGGCGGGGCAGCCCGGTCCGGGAGCCCGCGCAGGGCCCCCCCGGCGGCGAGGCCGCCCGCGCCCGGGCAGGGCAGGGGGCGCCCCCGGCGCCCCGGGCGCCGTGGGCGAGGCGGCGAGCTGCTGCTCGGCGGCCGTCGAGGCTACAGGGCAGGTTTTAATACATAGTTATATATACACACATATGTATATATATATATATATATATATTCTGAATCATAATATATATATGTGTGTATATATATATCGGATGTTTAATAATGACTAATGTATGCATACATGTATGAATGAACTCATCGTTGGTCTTCATCCTAAATCCCTGCGGCCGCCGTTGGGCAGGCGGCCCGCGGTCTCAAAGGTACACAGGCCGCGGCGACACCGACAGCGACTCCGGTTCAAAAATGACCAGGAGCTGCTGCTGGGCATCGTACCCATTATTTCCGTGAACGTGCCCATGTCGTTCGTGCCGAGCTGCTGTCCGGTGGTCGGGCGTGTCCCCACCGGCGGAGCCCGGGCGAGGAATACAAAGACCATGCGAAGCAGACTCGACGGTGGCACAAGGAAAGAGAGGAAACGCGCGACGGCTCGTCCCCGGACCATTTGTTGTTGACTGCTTCTGAAGGCTCCTCCCGTGGAGGGACACGCCCGGCTTGAGGCCACTGCCCCACCGTGCTCGAACAGGTTGGGGGCCACGGGCGAACCCTACCCCTGCCCCCCACGACTTCTGAGGGGGAGGGTGGGGTTCACTTCGACCGGGAGCTCCCGAGCGGAGTGAACCCCGCCCCCCCCCTCAGAAATCGTTGGGGGTAGGGGTAGGGTTCGCGGCGGCGGCACGGAGAGCCGAAGGAGGAGGAGGAGGAGGAGTGAGGAGGAGCAGGAGCAGGAGGAGGAGGAGGAGGAGAGGAGGAGGAGGAGAGGAGGAGTAGGAGGAGGAGGAGGAGGAGGGAGGAGGAGAAGGAGGAGGAGGGAGGAGGAGGTGGGGAGGGAAGGGGAGGAGGAGGGAGGAGGGAGGAGGGAGGTGGAGGGGAGGGAGGGAGGTGAGGGAGGAGTGGGGAGGAGGAGGGAGGAGGGGAAGAGGAGGAGGAGGAGGAGGAGGAGGGGAGAGCGAGGAGGAGGGAGCTCCCGAGCTCCCTCAGAAATCGTTGGGGGTAGGAGTGGGGTTCGCCTGTGGTCCCCTAGCAGAGAGGTCATCTCTGGGGTGCCACCGAGCCCGTCGCTGGCGCGCCGTGCGCCCCTCCACCTGCGTTCGGCGGTGCAGGCGAGGTGCCGGCTCAGCCCCTCCCTCCCTTCCTCCTCCTTTTCCTCCCTTTCCTCCTCCTCCTCTTCCCCTCCTATCCCTCCTGCCTCCGCCTCCTTCTCCTCTCCCTCTCCTCCTCCTCCTCTCTCTCCTCCTACCTCCTCCTCCCTCCCTTCCTCCTCCTCCTCTCCCCTCCTCCTCCTGCTCCTGCTCCTCCTCCTCCTCCTCCTCCTCCTCCTCCTCCTCCTCCTCCTCCTCCTCCAGCGTGGGCGCGCGAGCGGAGAGAAAAGCGGCCTGAAGCATGGGACCCGGCACCCCGAGTCCGCACTGCCAACCACGAGACGAGCTGCAACGCAACGCCTGGGGACCGTTGCAAGAAACTCGGCGGCGGAGGAGGGGTAGGAGGGCGGAGTTTCGGGTGCTGCTAGAGGTGCCCCTGGCCCAAGGTGCCCCCAGGATTCTTGGGGGAGCATCCCTCACGAGGCCCATGAGAGCCCCAGGAACTCCAGAATGGAGCGAACAGCTGGGGGCACCGTGGGCCAGGGGCCCCATCCAGCAACGCCCGAGACCCGAAACTTAGGCAGCGGCGTTTCTCCCACCTTGCCCAAAGTCGCCCGAACTCTGCCCCGAGGCACCTGACCCGTTGCTCGAGGTGGAGCCAGAGGCGGCGACGAGACGTCTCCGGGAGGCGCAGGAACGACGAGAAACGCCAGGGGGGGCGGTCGCTCACGGAAGCAAGCGCCCGACTCCTCGGACAACGACTCTTCCGAGGCCCAGGGAGGTGGCGCTGGGCGTAAAGGACCCTGGCCCAATCCTCTCCTCTGGACAGATATGACCGTCGCAGACGGGTTCCCAGACCTTCGACGTCGTCGTTTCCTTCAAGCTTGTACCCCTGGAGATCTGGGCCCCTTCCCTGGGAACAGCTTTTCGTCCCGAGTAGTTCTTTGTCGGTCCTCGGGCCCGGTCAAGGCTCCGGGAGGCCGGAAGAGGCCCAACACCTCCCGTCGTGACTCTTTCGAGGCGAGGAGGAGGGGGGGTTGTGAGCCATCCACCGCAGAGCACCGAGAGAGCGGCGAAGAGTAATCTGCCGAGGGCTCTGATCGGAGGTGGGCAAGCTGAAACAACGTTAGGAGGCAACTACTGGGAGGTCTTCGTTGGAAGGACCTGTGGGGGGCTGCTACGCCAAACTGGGCCCCGGACTAAGAGCAATCAAGCTGGAATAGGGAACAGGCCTGATTCAGCCGCTGAATCAGGCCTGTTCCCGCTGGTTGAACCTCGCTGACAGCGAGGTTCAACCAGATTAAAGCTGGATGAAGCCGGTTTGGGCCGGATTCGGACCACAGCAAAGTCAGAATTTGACCTCCCAAGAGTTGCATCCAAAACAACGGCAACTCAAAATCGGTGCCCCACCAGCGTTCCGGGCTGCGTCCAGCCATGGCGACGGGGGGCCCCTGAAGGCCGGCTGTCGTTGCCTGGCCCGCAGTGCACTGGCGACGTCGGCGGTGCATCGGCGACGTCGGCGTGGAGAAAGTCGGGCTCCTCATCGAGCTCCATCGCCAATGCATCAGCGATGCGGCGCTACAGGAATACGAGGCGGCATAAACAGAACCTTTCGAGGACCGCGCAGATTTATTGGACCTGCGCTGGACCTCCCTCACTGGCGCGCGGAGCGCGCCAGGGGCGACGCTGGAGGCGCCGTCAGGGGGGTCCAGCGCAGATCCAAGAAATCCGCATGGACCTGCGAACCTTTACCTATCGTTCGGAAGAAGTATGTAGAAACTTAGAGTAGGAAGACATTGAAAAAGATTGAGCTCCGCCCGCCCCCCAAAGAGGACGGAACTTTTGAAGCCACTCGATCATTGAAGTAGGACGGCGCTTGAAGTATATTGGATCTGGAAATCCCAGAAATACCTGCTTTCAACGACCGATGGGTATGTGTATGCAGTGCTTCCTTCTTGGACAGATCGGGAGGAGGGAGGGGGAAGCGGGAGTGAGATGACGCGGGGCGCTGTCTCTTCAAAACGAGGAGGAACCAACACCACGAGCTGGCTGGGACAAAAACCATGGAAACACATATTTTAGAACCATGCTTGAAACCTTCGTGCTTTGACTATCTTTCTACTATTGTCGAAGATTCCTCCCGTAGAGGAAGCACAGGCCCGACAAAAGGGTAGGTTGGGTTGAGAGTGGGTTGAGGCATGGCGCTCCTATCGCGACCAAATATCTCAAACTGCGAACAGCACGTCTCGGAAGCTCTCCGGGGGGCCCTCGATTGGGCGCCGCAGGCCCGCGCGGCGCCCCTGGACTTCGAATTCAGGCGTTGCGTGCACAGCACTCACGCCTGCACGTGTGCATGCTTGTTATGTTCTACCATTGTTCTGTCGGGCGTGTCCCCCTACAGGGGGAGTTTCGACGATAAATAAAAAAATACCCCCCAAAATGCACCAGAAAGGTCAAAGAATACCAAAAACATAGTCCCCAGACTATTGTTGGATTATTTTTGGACGAGTTGGGGGATTAAAAGAAGAGAAACAAAAAATCGTCGGAAATCCCTCTGTAGGCGGACAGGCCCGACTTAATACTATTGTCGAATTTCCCTCCCGTCGAGGCACAGGCCCGCCCAAAGGGCAGCGGAGAGTGCGAGGCGGGCGCCGAGGCCGGGCGCCGCCGAGGGCGCCTCCGTCGGGCTGCCGGTCGGGCCAGCGGTCGGAGCCGCCGTCGGCGCCGCGGTGGCCGCAGGCGGAGCCGCCGTCGGAGCCGCCGTGGGAGCCGCCGTGGGAGCCGCAGTGGCTGGAGCCTGCGGCGTGCACGAGAGGGGAACGGACAGCGGCATAGAAACTCACAAACTCGGAGGTCCGCGCGGATTTCTCGGATCGGCCTGGCCTGCGGCGCGCGCCAGGTAGGGAGCCCACAGAGGACGTACGCGCCCAGCTACGTACATGAACACGGCCCCTCGATCTGCGAGACCGGCCGCGTGATACGAACTTTCGGGCAATGCGTACTCTCGAAACCAGCGTGGACTCATGTACATGTACGTCCTTCTTTCGCTCCTGAGCCAGGGGCGGCGCCGCCGAGGGGCTCCAGCGCCGATGCGAGAAATCCGCGCGGACCTCTCCGAGCTTGTGAATTTTTATGTTCATGTCATTGTCCGTCCCCCGTGCACGCGCGGGCGCGGCAGGGGGCTCAGGTCGGGCCAGACGCCACGCAAAGGTGGTGGGGATCGCCACTCCAAATCCCCGATTAATCGACCCCCCCTAAAACACCGGACCCCCCTCCAAATGCGACCTAAGATTCCAGACCCCCCCAGGCGCCTTCATAAACCCGACCCCCGAAGCTCCAATCCACAGAAAGCGCCCTAATAAACCAGACCCCCCAGTTACAAAAAAGGCGCCTTAAATAATCGGCCCCGGGTTTGGACGCCCGAAATGGGTACGGAAAAAATGAGCACAATGCCCAACAACAGATGTTGTCCCAAACCAACAGCGGCCGCTGTTGGGCAGGCGGCCTTCTGTCTCAAATGTACACAGGCCGCGGCGGCGCGGACAGCGAGTCCCGTTCAAAATGAACAGGAACTGGTGTTGGGCCTTGTACCCATTCTTTCAGTACCCATGTCGGTCGTCCCGACCGGGGGACTTAATACTCCAGATTTCGTAATAAAGGGCGGGGGGTCTCATTTCGGGGGGGTCTCTTCCAGGCTATCTTGGAGGGCCTGGGGGGTCTGGGGACGATGTTTTGGAGGGTTCTCCCACGGGGGAGGTCTGAAATGGCTTGTCTTGGAGGGTCCAGACCCCCTCCCTTTTATCACGAAATCTTGAGTGAAGGATTTGGAAGACGGCGATCCAGCTCACATTGGCCTCTGGGCCGATGCGGATCCAGCCCACCGTAGAGCGCCTCGCACCGAGGGCAGCTGGTGCCCCCCGGCGCCTGCCGGCTCCGGAGGCGGCCGGGCCATCGAGGGAGGGCGCCCGGCGGCGATGCCGGAACCAGCTGCGTGCCCTGTCCCCAGCGCCCTTCCGTCCGATCCGACTATTTTTATTATTATTATTATTATTATTATTTTTATTGATATTCTATATATATGTATATATAATATATATGTCTATATATCTATATATCTATATATATATATATATATTGGCGCGTGAGGGCGGCACGTCGTTGACTTCAGGTTGTCCTATGCTTCGAGGACCGCGGTAGCGAGCGCCGTTGATTCGCAGGTCCCCGACGGGGGGCAGCGCAGGGAGGGGGGTGAGGAGGAAGTGGCTCGAGAGGAGCAGAACGGGCGAGAGGAGCCCTGGAGGAGCGAGAAGAGTAGGTTGGGTTGAGAGTGGGTTGTGGCACGGCGCTCCTATCGCAACCAAGGAGCTTAAATTGCGAACAGCACGTTTCGGAAATTCTTCGGAAGGCTCTCCATTGGGCGCCGCAAGCCCGCGCAGCGCCACTCGACCTCGAATTCAGACGTTGCGTGCACAGCACTCACGCATGCATGTGCGCATGCCATGTATGTGATGCATGCATGCATGCCTATCTGTCTGTCTGTCTGTCTGTCTGCATGCATGCATGCATGCATGCATGTATGTATGCATGCATGCATGCATCCATGTATGTATGGATGTACGCATGTATGTATGTATGTATGTACGCATGTATGTATGTGTATGTACGGCTGTTGCTTTTGTATGTACGTATGTATGTGTGTGTTGTGTATAGTTGTATGTGTGTGCATGTATGGATGCATGCATGCATGTGTGCATGTATGTATGCATGTATGCATGCATGCATGCATGTATGTAAGTTTGTGTATATGTATGTGTGCGCGTGAGCATGTTTGTGTGCATGTACGTTTACAGGCATACATGCATGTATGTACGAACGTATACATGGACGTACGTGTGTATGTATGTCTGCACGTTTGTGTGTATAGGTATGCATGTATGCAGGTAGGTGTGTGCATTTATGTATGTATGTACGTATGTATGTATGTATGCATGTATGTGTGTATGTATGTGTGTATGTGTGTATGTATGTAGCTTTACATACACATGTCTATTCCAAATTCTGTACTTGTACAATCCAATGGGGGGGCGAACATCCTCCCCCCCACACCCAAACGGTACCCCCCAGATTCGTCGCCCCGGGAGCCCTGGACGCACCTGCAGAAGGTCCCCCGGGCTTTGCGGGGCTCCTGGGAACCCCTGTCTGGGCAACGGGCCCAAATCGTGAGAAGGGCGGCCGAACGGCCCCGCGAGAGCCCCAAGAGGTCCCAGACATCCACCACACGCCCGAAAAAGACCCAAAGAAGAGCCCCAACAAGTTTTTTGCATGATTTGGGGACGCTATGTTCTTCGGTCTTCCGGGCGTCCGAGATCGCCCAGGAGGCCCGCACATCGTCCCAGAACTTCCCAAGAGGGTGTTCAGGCAGTCCGAGAGAGCCCCGAAACGGCCCAACAGGATCTCAAGATGGTCCGAAGAGAGCACCATGACGGCCCAAAAGGGACCCCGGACGCCCCCGAACCATTCCAAATCCTGATCCGGTCGTTCAGGGATACCGCGGTTGGAACCAGGGTGACCCCGAGGAAAACCCCAGAGGGAACCCAGAAGGCCTCCAGAAGGCCCCAGAAAGAGCTGATGAAGATGGGGAATAATTCGAAGGCGACAACGGGGAAGAGGAAGAGGAAACATGACAGAAGGAAGCAACGATTTTGGAAAAAAGACACAAGGATTATCGTCGCTTATCCTATTTAACCTTCCTGCCCATCGGCTTGCATGCCACACAAGGACCAAGGTGCATGGCGCGAAGCGCCAATGCACTGTAGTGTATATATGAACACATTTCAAGAAATGACATACCCAACCCTTTGTACACATGAGGCGACTATACATCGGACCGCTCAAAACAAAAACAATCACTGAAGGGTCCGTCGTGCTCTTGAACGCTTCGCCAAAGAACGTTCGACCAGAGCCAAATGTTTCATATTCGCGGCATCGCTCTTAAGAGTCAGATTGTTGGCAGGAAGGCGTGGGAACATACTGATGAGGGGGAACTGGAGACATGCCTCTTGGGAGTAACAGCGCATCGCGGCAGGTTATCATCGCAGAACAGCGCCATGCGCGCTATGACAGAATAGCACCCTGCGCTAAGCGCTGCAAGTGCCCGAGTGCACTACGGACAGAAGGCAACTGAAGAGTCGATGCAGCATGGGCACATGACAACGCCATGCGCTCCGTGGCGCCCCGTCCCGCTGCGATCTGCGATCAAAGAGCGCAGCGAGGTCTCATGGTGGTCCCCGTGGGGCACCCCTCCGCTGGGCCTCCCAGAAACCCACGAAGGTGGCGGCAGTTTCCCAGATCGCAACACCCAGGGGGCGGGAAAGTCTACTGATGATCTGCGAAGGACGTTCATCCGCTGGCCCTCCCAGAAGCCCACGAATCTGGCGACAGTTTCCCAGATCGCCAAACCCAAGGGACGACGAGGTCTCGTGGGGATCTACGTAGGACGTAACTGTGCTGGGCATCCCAAGAACCCACGGAGAGTGGCGACAGTTTCGCAGATCGCAACCCCCCCAGAAGACGGTGAGGCGTGGTGATCTGCGTAGGACGTACCTTCGTTGGCCCTCCCAAAGCCCACGAACGTGGCGACACTTTCGCATATCGCAGCCTCCCAAGGGGCGACGAGGTCTCGTGGTGATCTGCGTGGGACGTACCTCTGCTGGGCCTCACAGGGGCACAATAAAGTGGCGGCAATTTCGCATATCGCAACTCCTACGGGGACGGCGAAGTCTCGTGGTGATCTGCGTCGGACGTACCTTTTCTGGTCCTCCCAGAAACCCGCGAAACTGGCGACCGTTTCGCAGCTCGCAGCCCCCCTAGGGACGGCTGGGTCTCATGGTGATCTGCGTGGGACGTACCTCCGCTGGCCCTCCCAAAAAGCTAACGAAAGGGGCGACAGTTTCGCATATCGCAGCCCCCCCAGGGGACGGCGAGGTCTCGTGGAGACTTGCGTGGCACGGAAGTGGCGACCGTTTCGCAGATCGCAGCACCACAAGGGTCGGCGTGGTCTCGTGGTGATCTGCGTGGGACGTACCTCCGCTGGCCCTCCGAGAAGCCCGCGAACGTGGCGACGGTTTTGCAGAGCGCAGCTCCAAAGTGGACGGCGAAGTCTCGTGGTGACCTGCGTGGGAAGTACCTCCGCTGGCCCTCCAAGAATCCTACGAACGTGGCGACACTTGCGCAGATCGCAGCCCCCGCAGGGAAGGGCGGGGTCTCGTGGTGATCTGGGTGGGACGTACCTACGCTGGCCCTTTCATATGCCCACGAAAATGGATACGGTCTCGCATATCGCAGTCCTCTAGGGGGCGGCGAAGTCCCGTGATGATCTGCGAAAAACGTTCCTCCGCTGGCCCTCCCAGAAGCCCGCGAAAGTGGCGACAGTTTCCCAGATCGCAAAACCCAGGGGACGACGAGGTCTCGTCGTGGCGATCTGCGCGGGACGTACCTCTGCTGGCCCTCGCAGGAGCCCACGAAAGTGGCGACGGACGGTTTTGCAGGTCGCAGGCCCCCAGGGGACGGCGAGGTCTCGTGGTGATCCGCGTGGGGCGTACCTCCGCTGGCCCTCGCATGAGTCTGCGAAAATTGGCGACAGTATCGCAAACCGCAGCCCCCCAGGGGGAGGGGGGGGGGGGGGGGGCGAGGTCGCGAGGCAGGGAGGAGGAGGGAGAACACGAGGAGGAGGGAGAAAAGAGGAGATGGAGGAGGAGGACAGGAGGAGGAAAAGGAGGACAGGACAGAACAGGACAACCGCATGAGGGGGTCAACGTCAATGCGCCCGCTAAGGCGCTTAGGTCCGTCGGCGGAAACCGGCGGCCGAGTCGGCAAACATCAAATCGGCGAAAATCGGCAGGCTTGTATGCGTCCAGTGAGACATCGAAACCCGCATCGGAAGCCCAAATCGAATCACATCGACATCGGAATCCATCGAAATCGAACCCGGGGAAGCGCAGGGAGCCCCGTCTCCCCCCTCCCCAACTCTCGCCCCGAGCGGAGCGGCGTCGGCGACGAGCCCGCCCCCCCCCCCCACCCCACTCCCCCCCGCCCCCCCCCCGCGCCTCTGCTGCCGCAGGCATGCACGACAGATCGTAGCCGCCGCGAGGGACCGGGCTCCTCGGGACTCGCGGCACGACGACGGCGACGGCGACGACGACGACGACGACAACGACGACGACGACGACGGCGACCGCGACGACGGCGACGGCGACGGCGACGGCGAGGGCGACGACGGACGACGACGGCGACGGACGACGACGGCGACGGACGACGACGGCGACGACGACGACGACGACGACGACGACGACGACGACGACGACGGCGCCGACGACGACGACGACGACGACGGACGGCGACGGCGACGGACGACGACGACGACGACGACGACGGCGACGGCGACGGCGACGGCGACGTCGACGACGACGACGCGGCATCGGGCCCTCTGCAGCGCCCCGCCCCCCCCCCCCTGCAGGCTCGACAAGCACGGGGGCCCGCGCCCTCCGACACGGTAGCGTTCCCCTCCTCCGCTCCTCTCCCTTATCATCATAGGGTATCGAGCTCTATACACCGACGCTCTTTCCGACCCTGCGCTGAAATTCCCACAGGAACGTGGATCTTGGTGTATACTGGACCCTGGTGTATACATGTTTCATTGCTTCCTTGGAACATCGGGGGAAAAATATACACCACACCACTCCAGCGTCGTCCTCGACCCTCAAAAAAGTCCTGGGATTGAAAAACAGCCCGCCACTGGTAGTGTATAGGTTCCAGTTTCCGAAAATTCGCCGGCCCAACGGGCCAGGGCGTGCTAAGATCTCCGGTACCTGGTTAACAGTATTTCTAGTTCGCGCGCGCGGGGCGGCCCCTGGGGGTCCCGGACGAAACAGTACCCGGCAGGTCGGGCAGTGGGCCCAGAGATGCCGGAGCTTGTTTACAGGGCCAGGACGGCAAGGAGGTTCCAAAGAAGCTCATGACGGTCAAGAGGTCCCGAGACGGCCCAAAGATCGCGAAGAGCCCAACAGGGCACCATGACAGCCCACACAAGAGGGGCCTCCCAAGCCGCCCAAGGGCCTTCCAGAGGCTCGAAGAGGCCTCCGAAGAGGGCCCCAAGAGGCCAAAATCGTTGATTTTCATTGTTTTTTCTATGTTTTTTGCGTTCTGGCTTTTTCGGCTTCCGGACGCTCCAAGACGGCCCAAGAGGCCCCCAAGACCGCTCCAAGACGGCCCACGAAAGACGGCCCCGGAACGGCCCAGGAGGGCCCCCAAGACGGCCCAAGTGCCCAAGACGGGCCCAAGAGGGGCTCAAGAGGAGAACCGAGAACTGAAAAATCGAGCCCTCCGCCCCAGAAGGCGCCCAGGAGGCCCCAAAAAGGCCCCAAGAGGCCCCCAAGAGGCCCCCAAGACGCCCCAAGAGGCGCCCAAGATGCCCAAAAGAGGCCCCAAGAGGCCCAAAAACGGCCCCCAAGAGGCCCCCAAACTCGGCTAGCCCACAACGGTGCGACAATATGGGCCGGCGGAATGAGCGAAGCGATTAAATAACTTCTCCCTGTCGCACCCCGAGGCCAGATTTTAGGGCGGGCCGGGCGTTTCGCCAAAGACTTCCTTCTGACTCTGAAGCTGAAAACAATAGGCATCCGTGTCACAGATGGAGGACGGGTCGTTTTCAATTATCCCGGCAAAGCAACCTAACAGCGATGTGTAGGAGCATATCTGGAAGCATTCCCCTTACGATTCAGATGAGAATCCAGTTGTAGAATTCTGCTGTTCTCGCAGTCGTAGTCGCATTCGCGATGACAGTCGCAGTGGCAACGGCAGTCGCAGTCACAGCCTCAGCCTCAGCCTGCCTCAGCCTCAGCCTCAGCCTGCCAGCCTCAGCCTCAGCCTCAGCCTCAGCCTCAGCCTCAGCCTCAGCCTGCCTCAGCCTCAGCCTCAGACTGCTTCAGCCTCAGCCTCAGTCTGCCTTCAGCCTCGGCCTCAGCCTCAGCCTGCCTCAGCCTCAGCCTGCATCAGCCTCAGCCTCAGCCTCAGCCTGCCTCAGCATCAGCCTGCCTCAGCCTCAGCCTCAGCCTGCCTCAGCCTGAGCCTCAGCCTGCTTCAGCCTCAGCCTCAGTCTGCCTTCAGCCTCGGCCTCAGCCTCAGCCTGCCTCAGCCTCACCCTGCATCAGCCTCAGCCTCAGCCTCAGCCTGCCTCAGCCTCAGCCTGCCTCAGCCTCAGCCTCAGCCTGCCTCAGCAGCAGCCTGCCTCAGCCTCAGTTGGCTACGGGCATTCAAAATGTGGCCCGGGAATGAAGTTCTGGGAACTCGAAGAGCACGAAGTGGCCTACAGTTGGCTCCGGGCATCCAAAATGTGGCCCGGGAATGGAGTTCTGGGAAGTCGAAGAGCACGAAGTGGCCTACAGTTGGCTCCGGGCATCAAAAATGTGGCCCGGGAATGGAGTTCTGGGAAGTCGAAGAGCACGAAGTGGCCTACAGTTGGCTCCGGGCATTCAGAATGTGGCCCGGGAATGGAGTTCTGGGAAGTCGAAGAGCACGAAGTGTCCTACAGTTGGCTCCGGGCATCCAAAATGTGGCCCGGGAATGGAGTTCTGGGAGGTCGAAGAGCACGAAGTGTGTGACTGTATGCGAAAAACGATCCCCCCCGGCAAACCCCAACGGCTCCCCAACGGCTGCCCAGACCCCCCTGTGGAGTAATGTGCTGCTCTCTTTTTAGCCCATTAGAAACCTATCAGTCTACGCTGTTAGGTAAAATGTGGCTCTCGCCTCAGCACGGCGCACTTTCGTCTTAAAAGTTTGTGAGAGCTTCGAGGATTGAGGGAGGGTGGTTTTCAAATTGTGGCTCTCGCCATGGCGCCGCGTATATGCGTTTCGAACATTTGTCAGAGTTTCAGGGATTGAGAGCGAGCGGTTTTCAAAATGTGGCTCTCGTCTTGACGCGCACGTTAGTTTCGAACAATTACAAGAGCTTCATGGGTTGAAGGCGGGTAATTTTCAAATGGTGGCTCTCGCGCTAGCCGCGGCGCACATGTTTGTGAGCGTTTATGTATTCTGGGTTTCGTCATTTGGCGCAAGGGGGGGAGGGGGGGGGTCCGGCTCTCGTCCCGTAGTCAATACCTCCGATTGAATCATCTTGAAATTTTCAACATAGCTTAAAATTCAACATTTGAGCCTCATGAGGCGTGAAACTGGTAAACAAACTCATTCTAACAATTACAATACAACGCAAATATTTATGAAACTTATCGATACTCTAAAATGTATTATGATATATTGTGAAATGTCTTAGTCAATATATTTCCGACGTGTAGAATCAACACATTTCTGACGTAACATCACTTAATATATTTATCACGTATTCTTTAAAATCTGTTATGCAACAATGTAGTTCCCACGTGGATCACATATTCATGATTCCACAAGGCCGTCGGTGGCATAACAGGGGAGGGCCCAACCGGAGGCATGCTTTTTGGCGATCGGGTCCGGCGCCCCTGAGCCCTTTCGTTATGGTTCCAGAAGAATAGCAGGAAAAAGTTCGCACAGTTGCACACATCAACGATTCGAGTTTCTACGGGGGGGGGGGGGCGCCGGCCCCCGTAGTTCGTCCGATCGACTGAAGCAGGTGCCAAAATCAGCCCATAACTTCTCTACGGGGGGGGGGGGGGCGGGGGGTTCCGCCGAAAGCAAAAAAAAAAATAAAAGAACGATCACTTTTCTGAACAAGTGAAAGAATTTCACTGAGTGAAGGCAATTCCTCTTCAAAATGTGGCTCTCGCAATACCGCGTACCAGGATATCCTGCTTGTATTATCCGCGATAGCGGGCGTGATCGGGGGGGGATCACGGCGGGTTTCGACCTCCCGGGGCCTTTTTCGAGCCCCCAGGCCCTCGGGAGGAGGAAGAGAAGGAAAAGGGAGAGGGAACAGGAGAGGAAGAGGGGATTGAGGAGGAAGATAAGGAACAGGGAGAGGGAACAGGGGAGGAAGATGGGACTGAGGAGGAAAGAAAAGGAGCAGCAGCAGAAGCAAAAGGCAGGAAGAGCACACGGAGGACTGCGGAGAGGACCCCGGAGGACCCCTGGCAGCTAGCAGGAGGGGGTCAGGAGGAGAGGAGGGGATCTGCAGGAGGGGGAGGAGGAGGATCAGCAGGAGGAGGAGGAGGGGGAGGAGGAGGATCAGCGGGAGGAGGGGGAGGAGGAGGACCAGGAGGAGGGAGCATCGGGAGGAGGGAGGACCACGAGACTGAGGAGGACCGTCCGGAGGAGACATACCCCCGAGGCGAAGGAGCAGGGAGATCCCCGAGGCCCGTCCCTCCCCATCCTCCACGTCTCCCCCCCACATCGAGGCTTCGGGTGTCCACGGAGTCGTCGTCGTCGTCGTCGGAGTCGTCGTCGTCGGAAGGTTCGTCGTCGTCGTCGTCCTTGGCATCGTCGTCGTCCAGTCGGAGTCGTGAGAGTCGTCGTCGGAGTCGTCGCCGTCGTCGTCGTCCGCGTCGGAGTCGCCATCAATCGTCGTCGGAGTCGTCAGCGTCGTCGTCGTCGTGATTGTTATCATCGGGGTCGTCGTCGTCGTCGTCGTCGTCGTCGTCGTCGTCGTCGTCGTCGTCACCCTCCTCCTCCTCGTTCTCGTTATGATCCTCCCGGTCGCGGACAACAGCGACGACGACGACGAATTCCTGGGAAAACCCTTGAGATTCTGTGGAAACCTTGGAAGATTCCTTGAGACATGTGGGGAAAACAGCATGACTGATCGGGGGGGAAGCGGGGGGGAGGTGCGGGGGCGATCACGAGCGCTATCGCCCAGAATAACAAAAACAGGGTCTCACTTTCTCAAACCTCATACGCAGAAGTGTACTCAAACGACACTTGCACGCATGGTGGGTGGGGGCGCTTCCTTTTCGGACGGGAATCTCGCCTACATGGCATGCCCATACGGAGTTCGTGCTTCAGGGGGGCGCTTCTGGCAGTACAAGGTTAAGGCGTGGAGGGACTCACAATTGGCGTTGCAAAGACAGCGTGCGATGTGGCAACGCCAGCCCGCTTATCACACGCCCTCCCCCACCCTGGAAATACAGTAGGAGCTCGACCACAAGAGACCTTCCACAAGAAACCCAACCCTGAGACGCCAGGATGTCCATTGATTGCTGGTGTGGGATTTCCATCGCAGAACCATCGAGACCCAAGAAACCCAGGGCGCCCTGGAGGTGAGCAGGGTGTTTCGTGGCATGGATCTCCACTTTCTTACACGCCGTCCCCCACCTCTCGGGGATGGACAGGATCCCCTTTCTTAAGACGTGGTTTGGTGAAAACGACTTCGGGCCCACACCTGGCGGGAGCAAGCCTGGACAACGACGGCCGCGGCGCCCTCCCGAGAGCCGAAAGCGGACAATTCACCAATCGACGCGACAGGGTCGGGCTTCTGTCCACCCTGGCGCTTTCTTTTTTCTCCTGAAGATCGGGAGCGGCCAAGGGGGGGTGTCCAAGAGGGGGGGGGGCGGCACGTGCGCGGCCCAGCGGGGGGGCCAGGGACGTAATGAAATAATAAGAGGCGCCATGAAAGCTGGGGAAACATCATGGCCCCCGCCATGATATCCACCCCCCTCTAGTCCTCACCCCCCTCTTTGCCGCCCCCGAGAAGAAGAGGAGGACGAGGAAGAAGCGGAGCCGGACCCACAGCGCGCACAGCCTCGAGCCCTCCAGGGGCGCTCCTGGCCCGCCTGGGCCGGCACCGGAGGCGCCAGGGGGGGAGCTCCTGTCCACCCCCCGAGCCTCGGGGAAGCAGCGTGCACGGAGGAGACCCTGGCAGCGGGACAGCGCGCGCAGGAGGCTCCCTCGCGGGGGACCGTGCCCTCACACGGATCATGAGCCTGCACTGAGGCAGTCTTATTTTTTCGTGTGTTGCCAGAAGTACCCCTGGCCCAAGGTGCCCCCAGCCTTTCGCTCCATTTTGGAGCCTCTGGGGCCCTCTGGAACTCGTGAGGGGTGCTCTGGAGGCCAGCTTGGGGTACCCCTAGAATCCTGGGGGCACCTTGGCCCAGAGGCACTTCTAGCAACACCCGATGTTGGGGGACAGCGTGCTTGGCGGAGACCACTGTTGCCCTCCCTCCTTGCGGCGCCAACCGAGTGCAGAGGGGACTTGGGACGCGCGAGTGTCTTGTGGCGGAGTCGATGGATCCTCTGCTCACTCCGGTCCTCCTGCTCCTCCTGTGGGCACTGCTGGGGGAGAAGGCTCAGAGGGGGAGCACATCGATCTGGAATCGGCGATACATCGCCGATAGTTCGGCGACAAGGCTCCGAAACCGAAACTGGACGCTCCAGGGCGGGGTGGGCCATCGGGTCCAGATCGGCGATGACTGGGCGATTGGGAGTCGATGCGTCCCCCGCTGGAGCTGTCCCCTCCTACAGTCAAGTAATTACTTGCTGCGAACTGATATTTGGCGAAGGCGCCGCGCCAAACTGCCCTGCAAACGAAAGCTTAAGTTTGATATCAGTTTATGTGGCGGAGGCGCTGAGCGCTTACTCCCGAGAGCGAAGACAGAACATTGGCCTTATTATTTTGGCATTGGCGTGGCTGGACATAGAAATTGCCCAACAACGAAAACGCAGCATTTGGATTGCCCGTGTACCCGCATCAATGCGCACGCGCGTTTCTTGTGCTCGGGATGTAATGAACCCTGCCCTTGGTTTTTGGGTCGTACAACTTGGTCCTCCAACGGCCGTGTGGGACGATTTAGGCACCTCCAGAACGCGCTCGGCGAGCAGCCAGTGGAAACCAACGCAACCATCCGAACACCAAAGACAGAGCCCTACTCCTCCTCCTCCTCCTCCTCCTCCTCCTCGTCCTCCTCCTCCTCCTCCTCCTCCTCCTCCTCCTCCTCCTCCTCCTCCTCCTCCTCCTCCTCCTCCTCCTCCTCCTCCCCCTCCCCCTCCTCCTCCTCCTCCTCCTTCCCCTCCCCCCCTCAGGGAAGTCCTCGGCATGCCCAGGGGATTGGCGTCGGCGTTCACGGGCACGCGGGAGTCCGCCTGTCGCCGGGGCCCGCTTCGGGGGGGGAGCGGGGCGGGCGCGCACGGAGAAGCGCTGCGCGCCGCCGCCTGCGGCGGCGGCTGCTGTTTTCTCCAGGACACACGGAGGAGGAGGAGGAGGAGGAGGAGGAGGAGGAGGAGGAGGAGGAGCAGAAGGAGGAGGAGGAGGAGGAGGAGGAGGAGAACAAAAAGAGCCACAAGCGCACAGAAACATCGCTCGTCGATCCTCGACCCGCGGCCTTGACTCCTCTAGGCCGCAGACCCTCGAACATCCTGGGTACCGGCGGCTGAAGAGGCCCTGGGACACACAAACAAATAAGCACAAACAACAAAATCCCCAACATTTTGTCCCAGATCGTTTTCGTCTTCCCCCCACTTGGCCATGCTTTCCCATATTTTCCTGGGACCGAAACCGACGAACCTGGACCCGCAAAAAGGACGGCCGCGACGCCCTCTTGCGAACCGAAAACGGCCAATTCCTTAATCGACGTGTCAGGGTGGGAGGTTTATCCACCCCCGAGCGGCGGCGGCTGCTGTTGAAGAGGCCCTGGGACACACAGACAAATAGACACAAGCAACAGGGTCCCCAATATTTTTTCCCACATCTCCCGTGTCTTCGTCGTCCCCCCCCCGCTTGCCATACTTTCCGACATCTTCCTGAGTGTCGAAGACCAATCGTGTCTGCTAGAAGTGTCCGCCTGTGGGGTGTTGCTAGAAATACCCCTGGCCCAAGGTGCCCCCCAGAATTCCCTGGGTGGCCCAGGCGGCCTCCAGGGCATCCCTCACGAGGCCCGGAGGGCACCAGGGGCTCGGAAGTGGAGCGAAGAGCTGGGGGCACCTTGGGCCAGGGGCACTTCTAGCAACACCCGACCCTTCCCGACGGGGCTTCCGGAGCCCGAACCTGTCCCCTCTGCGCCCCTCTCTCCTGAGATGCCAGTGTCTCCTTGTGTGTGTGTGTCTTCTCGAGATCGTTCCATGCTTCTCCCTCCCTCTCTCTCTCTTGCCCTCTCTCCCCCTTTCCCTCTCTCCCTCCCTCCCTCTCCCTCTCTCTCGCTCGCCCTCTCCCTCTCTCCCTCTTTCCCTCTCCCCCTCTTTTCCTCTCTTTCCCTCTATCGGGGTGACTGCCGGGCTGCAGTCAGCAGCCGAAGCACGCAGTGGATTGCGCAAACACCTCCTGGATATGTTTCACCTGTGCTAGCCATGATGTCCTACCAATACGTCTGGAGACAGCGTGGAAAACATACAAGTGCTCATAGATGATTCATCCTGATATTTTGTCCATCGGAAGGAACCTTTGGGTGTATGAAGAAAGCCTTGGGGATCTGGAAGGACAGCCAAACATCGACCTCCGGACCCATCCCGGGGTGCGTCTGCGCCAGCATTTCGAAGGGGAACCCAGCGAATCCAGCCGTGGCCACGAGGATTTCCCAGGAGGCCAAACAAAAAATTGAAAAATAACCGAAATCCTCGATCCTCGAAGTTCGATACTCGATCCTCGAAATTCGACCCGCGATCCTCATCCAGGGATGCGTCTGGGCCAGAATTTCGGGTTTAGGGTTTAGGGCCCCACAGAGCCCAAGATGGCGTCCAAGATGGCCCAACATAGCCGCAGATGGCTCAAGATAGCCTCCGACATGCATCCAAGAGGCTCCAATAGGGCTCCAAGAAGATTTCAAGTCACCTCCGAGCCCTCCAATGACACCCCAAGAAGCTAAAATGGTTTCAACACCAAAGGTACATCTATGTGTGTGTTGCCTTCTCGCTGTTTCGCTCCCGATGTGCTCTTGAGGGCTCAAGACGGCCCAGGACGGCCCAAGAGAGCCCCGAGAGGGGCCTAAGAAGGCCCCAAGATAGCCCCAAGAGCACCCAAGAACGCTCTAAGAGCGGCCCAATAGGGCCCCAAGACGCCTCCAAGAAGCCTCCAAGATGGACCCAAGACGGCCCAAGAGCCACGAAGCCCCCAAGAGGGTCCCAAAACGGCCCAAGAGGACCCCACGATGGCCCAAGACGCACCCGAGACGGCCCAAGAAGGCTCCCGAAGGGACCCAAGACGCTCTCGGAAGGGCTTCGACGGCCCAAGACGGCGCCAAGACACACCCCATGTGGCCAAGAGAGCCCCACGATGGCCCAAGAGAGCCCCAAGACACCCAAGACCATCCAACGACGGCCCAAGGAGGGCCCCGAGACAGCCTCGAGAGATCCCCGAGCACAGGAAGCCAAGACGGCCCCAAGACGGTCCAAATGAGACCCGTGACGGCTCCTTAAGTGCAAACGAAAGGTATCACATGTGACGGCCTTCCTCTTCCTCCCCTTCCTGCTCCGCATCCTCATTATGTTCCTCCTCCTCCTTTTCCTCCTCCTCCTCCTCCTCCTCTTCCTCCACTTCCTCCTCTTGCTCCTCCTCCTCCTCCTCCTCATCGTCCTCGCCATCATCATCATCATCATCATCATCATCATCATCATCATCATCATCATCATCATCATCATCATCATCACCACCAACACCAACACCATTATCATCATAATCATCGTCATCATCATCAGCATCATCATCATCAACATCATCATCAGCATCATCAGCATCATCACCATCAACATCTTCAGCATCGTCATCATGATCATCGTCATCATCATCAGCATCATCATCATCTTCATCATCATCGTTATCATCAGTATCACTATCATCATCAGCATCATCCCCCATCTCATCACTTCTCTCCCAAGCCTGGGGGCCCGAGGTGTCACATGTGACGGCCTCCTGCGCCTCCTCGAACAGTCGCCACCCAAATGCTGGGCTGGCACGGTGGCGGAACATGCAGCAAGCAACTTGATCAAATTTGTTCATCCTTATTCCCAACCATCATGTGGTGCTGGGTCCTCGTTTTGAAGAGACAGCGCCCCGCGTCCCACCTCCTCCTCCTCCTCTCTCCTCCCCCTCCTCCCTCCTCCCATCATCATCATCATCATCATCATCATCATCATCATCATCATCATCATCATCATCGTCATCATCATCATCATCATCGTCATTCATCATCGTCGTCATCGTCATCGTCATCACCCACTTCGGCACACCCCTCACACGTTTCGTGGCCCCATAGGGAGCTCCACCGAAGGCCCGAGGGCTGCCGCCCGCATGCGTCCCCTACGCCCATTTCGGCACACCCCTCACACGTTTCGTGGCCCCATAGGGAGCTCCACCGAAGGCCCCATGGCTGCCGTCCGCATGCGTCCCGCACCACCCATTTCGGCACACCCCTCACACGTTTCGTGGCCCCACAGGGAGCTCCACCGAAGGCCCCATGGCAGCCGTCCGCATGCGTCCCGCACACCCATTTCGGCACACCCCTCACACGTTTCTGGCCCCACAAGTATCTCCACGAGGCCCCATGCTGCCTCCGCATGCTCCATCATTTCGGCACACCCTCGCACGCGTGGCCCCACTCCCACCGAAGGCCCCAGTGCTGCCGTCCGCATGCCCCCCACACACCATTCCACACCCCTCACACGTTTGTGCCCCACAGGGAGCTCCCGAAGGCCCCATGCTGCCGTCCGCACACCCCTCACACGTTCATGCCCCATAGGCACACCCATTTCGGCACACCCCTCACACGTTTCGTGGCCCCAAGGGAGCTCCACCGAAGGCCCCATGCTGCCGTCCGCATGCGTCCCGCACACCCATTTCGGCACACCCCTCACACGTTTCGTGGCCCCACAGGGAGCTCCACCGAAGGCCCCAGTGCTGCCGTCCGCATGCGTCCCACACACCCATTTCGGCACACCCCTCACACGTTTCGTGGCCCCATAGGGAGCTCCACCGAAGGCCCCATGGCTGCCGTCCGCATGCGTCCCGCACACCCATTTCGGCACACCCCTCACACGTTTCGTGGCCCCACAGGGAGCTCCACCGAAGGCCCCAGTGCTGCCGTCCGCAAGCGTCCCGCACACCCATTGCGGCACACCCCTCACACGTTTCGTGGCCCCATAGGGAGCTCCACCGAAGGCCCCTTGGCTGCCGTCCGCATGCGTCCCGCACACCCATTTCGGCACACCCCTCACACGTTTCGTGGCCCCACAGGGAGCTCCACCGAAGGCCCCAGTGCTGCCGTCCGCATGCGTCCCGCACACCCAATTCGCACACCCCTCACACGTTTCCCCCGCTCCGACGATTTCGGGCCACACACCCTCACACGTTTAACGTGGCCCCCTGCTGCCGTCCGCAGCGTCCCGAGGGCACCCCTCCACGTTTCGTGGCCCCATAGGGAGCTCCACCGAAGGCCCCATGGCTGCCGTCCGCATGCGTCCCGCACACCCATTTCGGCACACCCCTCACACGTTTCGTGGCCCCACAGGGAGCTCCACCGAAGGCCCCAGGGCTGCCGTCCGCATGCGTCCCGCTCACCCATTTCGGCACACCCCTCACACGTTTCGTGGCCCCATAGGGAGCTCCACCGAAGGCCCCATGGCTGCCGTCCGCATGCGTCCCGCACACCCATTTCGGCACACCCCTCACACGTTTCGTGGCCCCACAGGGAGCTCCACCGAAGGCCCCATGGCTGCCGTCCGCATGCGTCCCGCACACCCATTTCGGCACACCCCTCACACGTTTCGTGGCCCCACAGGGAGCTCCACCGAAGGCCCCAGTGCTGCCGTCCGCATGCGTCCCGCACACCAGGTGTGTGGCGTGCCGACATGGGCGTCGCGGCGCGCGGGCGCTGCCGTCGGGGTTCCCAGGGAAGCCCCCTGCAGAGGCGACGCTCAGAGTCACGAGTACCGAGAGTCACGCAGACCCAAACTGTTCACAGTCGTATACATACATTTACACTGGGCGTATCCATGCACGCATTCATGCGAATAGAATCAATCGCGCGCAGATTCATTCATAATCAGACTCGCTCGCGATCCGACTCGCACGCGCTCAAGCTTTCATATTCGGACCTATCGTCTTCGTTCGTGTTGTGTACACTGCCACGCATTTCGGCACACCCCTCATACGGCTCGTGGCCCCATAGGGAGCGCCACCGAAGAAGATATTCACAATTGCGGTACTCTCAACTGCATATGGTTGGGTCCTTCGCCAGGCTAATGTTTTCTTTCGAGGTTGGCCTCCGGGGCCATCGGACCCAAGAACAACAAAAAAACATCCGGGACAAAAAACCGTCCCTATGCAAGGGGTCGGGTCCTCTGGGGCCGCGCATTGGAAAAATTCGATCGTCAAATGTCTGGGAACGCGTGTTAGCGCCAACGTGTGTTTGTCCACCGAAGCCATTGAAGGCGGCGCAGGGGTGTACCTACAGCGAGGGCTGACACAAGCTGCGTGCTATCAGTGGAGCTGAACAAGGTAAACCAATCAGTGGGCTAACACACACACAGTCACACACACACACACGTCCTGGGGATCATCGGCCTGAAGACAAGCGGCGCCTGCGAGACTTCGGGACTCCGCCCGCTTTAGCCACAATGGCTTCGTTGGGCGAGAATATCCGTACATACACACCGCCCCGGATGCACCGATCTTTTGCCAGGATGAGCCAGACCAGGATCGGTATGCTGGCCAGTTGACGTCCTGGCAACAGCGCCTGCAGGACTTTAGCCGCTTGTGACTTCTACGAATCTGTCCCGGGGCGAGTTCGAGGGCCCCCGGAAGCCGAAAACTGCCAAATAACCGTAGCCGAACGCTAGCCCTGACCACTAACCCTAACCCTATACCTAAACCCTAACCTCTACCATAACGCTTAACCCTAACCCCTAACCCATGATCCTCACCCTAACCCTAGCCCTAAACCCTACACCCATCCGACGCGCCACGGCATCAGAATGGAATGCTTAAGAAATGCGTTTGTGGATTTCTTCACCCTGCGCTAACCCGAACTCCAACCTCTAACCCCTAACCCTAATCCTTAACCGTAATCCAGACCCCGAACGCGAACCCTAACCCCTGACCCAAACCCTAACCCCTAACCCTGGCCGTACAGTGGTCACTACTCTGTCCGGGGCGGGAGATACCGATCCAGAATATAAGCACAGATGATGAACCGCCTGCCTCCCGAATGAACCCGAAGACGCGGATAGAACGATAACAAGGCTGAGGTTGCAGGGTTGTGGCTGCGAAGTCAGGGTTCGGGCGCGGCTGCGCACCGAGTAAACCGATAAATCGATAAGCCAGTAAACGCAATTGCGCAGGCCGAGGCGTTAGGGCGCGGTTCTCAGGGCTGGGGCATGCCTACGCACCGAATAAACCGATGAACCGACAAACGCAATCAAAACTGAAAACGGGGGCGAAGGACGGGTTTAGCGGTGGTGGCAGGGGCGTGGCTACGGACCAAATCAACCGATCAACCGATAAACCGATAAACACCATTGCGCAGGCCGTAATGTTAGAGCGGTGTCCTTAGGGCTGGGGCATCGCTACGCATCGAATGCGCCGATAAATCGATAAACCGGTAGACGCAGTCGGAGCAGAAAACCCAAGGGACGGGCTGATTGGTTTACCGGTTCGTGCGATTATCGACCGGTAAACCGATATGAACACATCGGCTTATCGGTCGACGAACAGACAAACCGATAAACCGATAAATGATTTCGGCTTATCGGTTTATCGGTTTAGTGTTTTTTGCTTGTACTCCTGCGCCTGCAATCTAATATATATATATATATGTATACACATGATAATTCCATCGCCGATCGATCGGCGATAGACCCCCTATAGCGGCACCGCGCGTTCCTGGGTGGGGTGGGCTATCAGGTCCCCATCGGCGATGGATAGGCGATGCTGGGTCGATGCATCCCCCCCTGGGCTGATCCCCCCTCTGTCGTTGCCCCTCACCCCCGCGCCCTGCCTCGAGGGAGGCCCCCCCGCCGCCGTTCCCGGGTCGTGCGGGCTCGGGGAAGGCCCCGATGGGGCCCCTCCCGCGGGTGCGGCCCGCTCCTGGTAGAGGAGCAGCAGTCCCGTCCACGCCGTGGACGCGAGGTGCGGGTAGCGCAGGTAAGCCTGGCGACGCCCCCGCCTCCTGGGCCTCCTCCTCCTCCTCCTCCTCCTCCTCCTCCTCCTCCTCCTCCTCCTCCTCCACTCTCTGTCCTTCTGAGTTGCTCCTCCCTGTCGCACCCCGAGGCTTGCCGAAAGGGCGGGCCAGGCGTTTCGCCTGAGACTTCCTCACCACTTGTGACCCTACCCTGAAGCGTAAAGATTGTCAACAGTTTCGCAGGTGGAGGGCAGGTGATTTGCAAAATGTAGCTCCCGCCTTGGCGCCGCGCACATTCGTTTTCACAACTTGCAAGGACTTCACGGATTGATGGCGGGCCGTTTCAAAATGCGGATTTCGCCTTGGCGCAACGCGCATTCGTTTAACAACAGTTCAAGAGCGTCACGGATTGAGGGCGTGTGGTTTTCAAAACAAGGCTCTCGCCTGTGCCGCGCATACTCGTTAAACAAAAAAGAAGAGCTTCGCGGATTGAGGGCGGGCAATTATCAAAATGTGTTCAAAATGTGTCTCTCGCTTTAGCGCCGCACACATTCGTTTTAAACGTATACAGAACTTTCACTAATTCTCATGGTAAGCATACAAGAAATGGTGTGTTGGACCGACTCGTGGCTGTCAGGGCGCAGCAATTACGTTGATCCGCTGTGTTGAAGCCCCATGAGTAGTGATCGTGTACGATTCAGGACCACCAAAACCTCACAACCATGTTAACTCGTGGCATTGACGTCCTGAGAATGGTGTTTGGGCACGCTTCAGGTTTTTTTACACGGTTGCCCCCCAACGGGGCAATTCCCTCAGTGGATAGAAACCCTTGCAGGGGCCTGTGAAGAGAGTGTATTCCAACATTGCTGCAGTTTCTTAAGTTTACACTGGTCCTCAACCCTTCCCCTGCTCCTCCTCCTCCTCCTCCTCCTCCTCTCCCTCGTTCTCCTCCGCCTCAGGAGGAGGAGGCGGAGAGGAGGGGCGGAGCCAGAGTCAAGGGGCAGAGGCGGCGGAAGAGTGCACGCGAGGTGCGAGTAATCAGCGCAGGTAGGCCTGCGTGACGGGGTTCACCACGCAAGCTCTGAAACCCAGGGCTCCGGGATCTTATGACCAAGGTCAATCCAGACCCGGGTCAGTCAGGACTTGCATAATCCTGCAAGATCCTGCAAAATCCTGCACGCAAGCCCGGGTCAATGCGAAGGATCCCGCAGCATCCTGCAAGATCCTGCACCCAAACCCGGGTCAATGCGACCCTGGCCCTGCAGGATCCTGCAAGATCCGGCCCTCTGGCTGACCCCCGTTTGCATTGACCCCCGTCTCGAGGCTCCCGAAGGGCAGCGGGGAGATCCACGCCGGCGGCGTCGAGGCATCGGCGATGCGGCGCGATCCTCCGACCCCATCTGCTCGACCCCGTCCAGGAGGCCTCTAGTGGAGCCCCGGGCGAGAGCTCGGGCCACGGGGGCGATGCAAGAACCAACAAGACTGCCAAGCCCAGCAAGCTCCCGTTTCCCAGGAGGACGCCTGTGAAGGGGCCCTGGGACACACAAAGAAATACACACCAAGTAAAAAGAAGCCCCATGGTTTCCCATATCTTCTGGGTCTTTGGCTTCCCCCCACTTCCCATATTTTTTCCCATCTTTTCTTGGGAGCCGACGATTCATTGTGTCTGTGTGTTTTTTCCCTCCTGAGGAGGAGGAGGAGGAAGAGGAAGGAGGAAGAGGAAGGAGGAGGAGGAGGAGGAGGAGGAGGAGGTGGAGGAGGAGGAGGAGGAGTAGGAGGGAGGAGGAGGACCTCTCCTCGATCGCCACGGGGGACGCCCAGTGGGGCGGCGGCCCTCTCGACGTGCGCCCCCGCGCGACCCCGCGAGCTCGGCAGCCCAGGCGTGGGGGGGGGGTCGGCTCCGCGCGCTGCTCCCGGGCAAGGGGGGGCCACCCTGCGAACCCCGCCCCCACCCCCCACGATCTCTGAGGGGAGGTCCTACTCCTCCTCCTCCTCCTCCTCCTCCCCCTCCCTCCTCCCTCCTCCTCCTCCTCCTCCTCCTCCTCCACCTCCTCCTCCTCCTCCTCCTCCTCCCTCCTCCTCCCTCCTCCTCCTCCTCCTCCTCCTCCTCCTCCTCCTCCTCCTCGCTCTCCGTGCCGCCGCCCGCGAACCCTACCCCTACCCCCCCACGATCTCTGAGGGGGAGGGCGGGTTCACTTCGCTCGGGAGCTCCCGAGCGAAGTGAACCCCACCCTCCCCCATCAGAACCCGTGGGGGGTAGGGGCAGGGTTCGCAGGGTGGCCCCCTTACCTGGGGGCCGGCTCCGCGCGGCTCCCAGACCCAGGCCCGCCAGAAGGGGGCATCGGGAGGGCCGGCCCTCCCTCCGCGAGGGCCTCCCGTGCCGCCTCCTTCGGGCCACGGCTCGGGAACACTCGGGAGCGGCCAAGAGGGGGGTGTCCAAGAAGAGGGGGTGCAAATCATGATCGGCGGCATGTGCGCGGCCCAGCGGGGGGGCCAGGGACGTAATGGAGTAAGAAGAGGCGCCATGAGATCTGGGGAAATAGCATGGCCCCCGCCATGATATCCACCCCCCCCCTAGTCATCACCCCCCTCTTCGCCGCCCCCGAAACACCGAAGCGCCCGCTCGGGACGAGCCCGGGCACCCCCGGGAGAACGCTCTCGGCACAGCGCCGCGGAGGGCAACGACCGGCCCTGCCCCCTCGCCCCCCCAGGAAAAACACCGGCGAGAGCACCCCTCGACCGAGTCCTGGGAGCCGGCGCCACGAACAACGTGCAACAGCTCGACGGCGAGCCCCTGGGGGGGGGGGGGAGGGAGGAAGGGAGGGGGGGGGGCGGGCCTGCTCGAAGGCTCGGGAGTCCCCGGGCCTTCTGAGAGGTGTTCTATAAGCCTGCCCCCAAGACACTTTTTTGATTCGCGGGTCGAGAGCGCACCTCTTCCGGTCGAAGCTAAGCGGGCCGCGCGAAGCCTGCCCCTCAAACGCAGAAAACCTCTCTGAAGGCCGGAGTGCTTCGGAGAGGTCCCACCGCGTTCTGAGAAGGCCTTCTCCTTCTCACTTCCCCCCTCGCTCGCCGCCGAATATCGTAGATAAATCGACAGAAACCCTGGACCCCATCTATCCGCTGCGCTTCTCGAGCCGGATCGACCCGCGAGGGACCCAAGCGGCGAAATCGCCGGTTGTGAAGGCGCACGAACTCTCGGGGACAACCGCGAAGAACGTAGGAAGACATTAGAAATCGTTGCTTACATCGAAAGTGACGATAAGCCGGGTCATTTGGATGGGGGGAGGAAGTGCTGGCAGATAACCTAACCATTGTGCTTAAGCCAGCCCCACGCATGCCCGCGCTCACCGATACAGCGCACCCCTTCCGAACCTGCGCAACCAACAAGGTCTGACTGCAATATCCAAGGGTGGGGGGCGGGCGGGCCAGAAACCCCGGTTTATCGCGGGACCGCAACAAAACAGTCTGCATTACGCGAGCCCCGAGAGCTTACAATTGTTATGATGAAGCGCTGGAGGCTGTTTTGTGTCTGGATTTGTTTTTAGCGTTTTCCACTCTGTTCTTGTTTTTTAGCGTGTTCCACCTCTCGCTCTTGACTCGACCAAGACATCATAAAAACGACACCCCGGAATTTTGGAGTCCCGAAACCGTGCGGTGACAGACCGTGCGGTGACCTCGAAATCCCCCAAGACCTCACCGCACGGTCCGTCACCGCACGGTTTTGAGACACCCAAGGCCCCAATCGCCCGAGATGTCCTCGGAGAAGGCCTCGAGTCCCAAAACCGTGCGGTGACCCCGAATTCCCACCGACTCACCACACAGTGTGGTCACCACCCCGTTTGGGAGCCCCCGAGGAATGTGGACGTCAGGCAAGCGGTTCTGAGATCCCCCGAACAGACCAAACCGCACTACAAAACGGACAGCAGACGAGCAGACGGGCCGCGGGCCGATCCTGAGCCTGAGAACGTGTCACAACAGCGGCGCACACGACGGAGAGATGACGTCGACCTCGAAGACAGAACACCAACGTGTTTAATCAGACCACCTCGCCCCGAGAGAGAGAGAGAGAGAGAGAGCGAGAAAAATACAGAGGGAGAGAGAGAGAGAGAGACAGCCCTGGGGGAGAAAGCGAGAGGGGTTTGGCCTTCTTCTCAGACAGCCAGGAGGGCCTCGGGTCTTCTCAACAGCTTCTCGAGCACGCCCCGAAGGCACAGAGAACTGTGCATGAGGCGCGAGGCTTTCTGAGAAGCCCCGCCGCCATCTGAGAAGCCCTGCCCCCTGTCACTTCCCAGGGCGCGCCGCCGAAATACGCGCGCCCCGAAAGAGAGAGGGGAAGAGAGAGAGAGAGAGACACACACAGAAAGTTACAGGCGGCCGTGGGGTCTAAACTGGCTATGGCCCCAGAAAATCGGTGGAGAGGGGGATGCGGCCAACTCAACTCCAAAATCGTTCCTCGGACCCCTCCCTGGGTCCGTCTGGTGCAATGTTCACCCGGGATATATGTTCCACCGTCCCCGGGGCCCGAAAGCAGCCCCCAGAGGCAGAACAACATGAAAAAGCCTTGCGCCACCCAGAACCACGACCCTGCCCGCCCTTCCTGCTGCCTGGAGCTCGGCGCTGGGCCACCTCGGACCCCCAGACGGCCCCGAGGAGCCCGGACCTGTTGGAGCTCGGACCTGCACGGCGCAGGCCGGCAGGGGAGCCGCAGTCGCGGCGGGCGCCGTGGCGCCAGGGACCCGAGACCCGAGCGGGGGCGGCCTCGCCGGGCGGCGGCGGCATCCCGGTGCGCGTGCCCGCAGGAGGGGGGGGTCGGGCGAAAGGCGGGGATAGCAAAGGAGGGGTTTGAGAATCAGCTCACGCGTAGCTGATTTTCCCGGCGCCTCCCAGCGCCGGAGGCGGCTATATATATATATATATGTATATATACACACACATATATATATATATACATACACATATATACATATATATATATATATATATATATCGAGGAATGGGCCCCTCGGTGAGGCCGAAACCAGCTGCATGCAGCACATTTCGTAACCCCCCCCTTTCCCAATCCCCCCCTTTCGCCCGGCCCGAGAGGAGGGGGAAGGACGCGCGAGGGGAGGGATGGGAGGGCGCACGGCTCCCAGGAGAGAGCGGCGGGCCCAGGTTCCACCACCGCTGCCATGGGCAGAGCGGGGAGGAGGGGAGGCTGGGGAGGTCCTCCTCCCCCTCCTCCTCCTCCTCCTCCCCCCTCCTCCCCCTCCTCCTCCTCCTCCTCCTCCTCCTCCTCCCCCTCCTCCTCCCCCTCCTCCCCCTCCTCCTCCTCCTCCTCCTCCTCCCCCTCCTCCTCCCCCTCCTCCCCTCTCGTACCTGTGGCAGCGATGGGTGGAGAATCGGCGCCTCGGCGAGAGAGAGCGAGAGAGAGAGAGAGAGCTCAGTGGCGGCAGGGGGCGCCCAACTCACGCCCGTGTCGGACCCGCCCGGGTGCTCCTCCGCTGGGCGGTCCGCGCGCGTGCCCTTCTGCTCGACCCACTGGTTGAAAGCCTCCAGGTTGCCTGCGGCCGGGCGGCGGCGGCGGGCGGCCCTCTCGGCGGGCCACGGCGACCACCACGGCGAGGACGCCGCCGTTCGGCGGCAAGGCCCCCGGGGGGGGGGAGGCGAGAGGGGCTAGGCCTTCTCGGGAGGCTTACGCAGCTCGGTCATGTCCCCCTACAGGCGGAGTTTGGAGGAAACTGCAACGTGTCCAAACGATGCTCAAAAGTAACCCTGAACCCACGAGAATACCCCCCCAGGGATAGTAAAGTTCGGGGTTTTCGGGGAGATAATAAAAGTTGCCCGCCAGAGCCAGCATAAAGAGATATCAAGAGGAAAAAGCCAAAGATATCTTGAGGATTGTCTCGGTTGAGACATCCTCAACGAATTGCTTGTTTCGCTTGAGACATCCTCGAAATATTTGTCTGTTTCGATTGAGACATCTTCAAATTATTGCAGATTTCGCTTGAGACATCCTTGAGGGAGGAGGAGGAGAAAGAGCAAGAGGAGGAGAAGGAGATAGCAAACATCCAAAGTTTCAAACTTATTAGATTTAATTTGTAAACACTTGATAAACATTATAAGTTTCATCTGCTCGTGTAGGGTAGCTCACGTGCCTCGTTTTCCCAGGATAAACAAGCCCAGCGATAAACAAGTTCAGGGCGCCAGGGGGAGGAGGAGGAGAAAGAGATAGAGAGACAGAGAGAGAAAGAGAGACAGAGAAATCAATAAAGAGAGACAGAAAGAACTACAAAGAGACAGAAGGACATCGGTTTCGCTTGAGACATCCTTGAGGGAGGAGGAGAAAGAGCAAGAGGAGGAGAGGAGAAGGAGATAGCAAAAATCCAAAGTTTAAAACTTATTAGATTTAATTTGTAAACACTTGATATACATTATAAGTTTCATCTGCTCGTGTAGGGTATCTCACGTGCCTCGTTTTCCCAGAATAATTAACCCCAGCGATAAACAAGTTCAGGGCGCCAGAGGGAGGAGGAGGAGGAGGAGGAGGAGAAAGAGATAGAAAGACAGAGAGAGAGAGAGACAGAGAAATAAATAAAGAGAGACAGAAAGAACTACAAAGAGACAGAAGGACATCGGTTTCGCTTGAGACATCCTGAAACAACGTGTTCGCTTCGCTTGATGTTGTTATCTCAACATAAGAAGGAAGTAACCTCGATGGCGAACTTTTCCTGTGATAATGAAGTTCGGCCTCCGCGCCCTCGCGCCCCCGACCAAACTCTTATTGGTCGACGATAATCAACTCTAACTACTGAAGGTCAGGCCTTCTCCGAAGGCTCGGGGAGCCTCGGGCCTGCTCGGTAGTTGTCCAAGCCTTCCCCGGAGGCACCGAGAACACTGCTCCGATGGCGAGAGGGGCTTCTGGGAAGCCCCTCTCGCCCTCTGAGAAGGCCTGCCCACACTCGCCTCCCCATCTGGGCTCGCCGTCGAGTCGTTACCCGTCGTCGCCCGTTGTCCGTCGTCTTCGGTCGCCACTCGACGTCACGCGTTTTCGGCAGCCGCAATCTGTCGCAATTGTCGTCGACGCCAGGGTCGTCGTCGTCGTCGTCGTCGACGTCGTCGTTGTTGTAGTCGTCGTCGTCGTCGTCGTCGTCGTCGTCGTCAGTTGTCGGCATCGTCGGTCGAAGGCGACTGAGGTGCTCTACGTCAACGGGAGGGGCTGCCCAAATTCACGACAAGTGCGGTAGCAAAGGACCTCTAACCTCCCAGAGGTGGTTGTGCCCACGTGCTACACTGATCACTTCGAAGTAATCACGCGCACCTCCAGGAGTACTGGACAGTCCACGGACGCACATCCCCCGGGACACGAGCTGATTGGGGGCACTTCGAGAGGAGGGTGCGATTGGCAACAGAGAAACCACGCAACTCGTCGGGTCAATCGTCAACACATCCCACACATCCCTAACGTGTTAGGCGCCCAAGCGATATGATTTCGAGGCGAACTCAGAAATCCAGACGACAAGCCTGGAACGCCAGGGGTCGTCGCCCGACCCGAGAAAAGCCACGGCTTTCACCATCATAGGACGCAAGCAGCATCTGTCGTTCTCTCCTTCTCTCCCTCTCTAGTTTCTCTGTCTCTCTTTCTTCATCTCTCTATCTCTATCTATATATCTAGCTATCAGAGTATGGGTGTGTATGCATGCATGTAAGTAAGTACGTAATTAAGTAAGTCAGTAAGTACGTAAGTAAGTACGTAAGTACGTAAACAAGTAAGGAAATAAGTCAGTAACTATATGTGTATGTATGTAAATATAAATGTATGCATGTATGCATGTAGGTATGCATGTATGCACATATGGATGTACACAGGTTTATGTGTATGTGTATGTATGTATATGTACATATGAATATGTATACATGTATGAATGTGTGTATGTATGTATCGGTGTATGCAGGTTTGCATTATTGTATGTAAATGCGTTTGTGTGTATGTGTGTATGTATGTATGTATGCATGCATGTATGTGTGTCTGTCTGCCTGTCTGCCTGTCTGTCTGTATGTATGTATGTGTGTATGTGTGTATGCATGCATGCATGCATGCATGTATGTATGTATGTATGTATGTATGTATGTATGTAGGTAGGCATGTGCGTGTTTGTATGTATGTATGTATGTATGTATGTATGTATGTAGGTAGGTAGGTAGGTAGGTAGGTAGGTAGGTATGTGCGTGTTTGTATGTATGTATGTATGTATGTATGTATGTATGTATGTGTGTATGTTTGTATGTATGTATGTATACATGTTATTATGTATGTATGTATGCATGTACGTATGTATGCGTGTATGTAAGTATACATGATGGTTGGGAAAAACCAGCGCGCGTGGTGGTGTTTATGCGTGGAACCCGGAGATTCAGCCGGATATTAAGTGGGACTAAGCCAGATTAGCCGGGATTAAGCGGGATTGAGCCGGATTTCGGACCAGGTCAAACTCAGAACTTGACCTCCGAGGACTTGCATCCGAACGCGTCTGTGACAAGCATAAAAGCATAGCGGCACCGACTTGATTAGTAAAACAAAAACATGTATGAGGAAAATCCTGGAGGCCTCGCGCGGCAACTCGAGACCCGATGTGCGTCGGATCCACGTCGGATGTACTGTGGGTTCACGTCGGATTACGTCGAAATCAGGTTGGATTTAGGTCGGACTGACGCTGGAGCACCGCCGCGCGAACGCGGTCCCGGGGGAACTAGACAATATAATTATTGCGCGCCGCGCGCAGCCTCCAAGTGCTTCCTCACAAAGGTACGCCTGTACCAAAGAAGGCCTCCCTCGAGGAGCCGGAGCCCACCTCGGAATCCGAAGAACCATCGGAATTGGAACTGGAGTCGATGACGTGGGGAAGCCAAAAGTCGGCTGCACGCAAGAGTGACCCTGGGTAAGAGTGACCTTTGGTGCGCGGCTTTTGGGGGGCCGCGGGTGGACCAAACTCAGGCGCGCAAGACGCCCTCGCAATCAGTGATCGGGGGACCCCATTGTCCCCGCACCAAAGGTCACTCCGGCGAAAGGTCACTCTTACGTGTAATCGAAAAAGGTACCGACACCGCTACTCCAAGGGCCTCTCCGGGAGCTGTTACGACACATCTCTTCTTCAGCGAGTCCAGCGGTGGCGGCACGGGCCTGCAAAGAAGCCCCCACGGAAAACGAGGCCAGGGCAGCGGCATGGTTATAAGAGGCAACTGCTGGGAGGTCTTCGTCGGAAGGACTGAGGGGGGATCAAGCCGCATTGGGGGGCTATGACGCCGGAGTGGGCCTCGGCTGAAGCGGGATGACAGGCGGGATGGCGCGGGATCCAGCGGGATCGCGCGGTATTCAACTGGATCGAGCCAGGTGGAGCCGGATCTCGGACCAGGGCAAAATCAGAATTCGGCCTCCCAGGAGCTGCATCCAAGGCGCGGCCGCATCTTACTCCTCGGACGGGCGAGGTCGAGCCGAGTCGAGGCGGAGGAAGAGGGAGGAGGAGGAAGAGGAGGAGGAGGAGGAGGAGGAGAAGGAAGAGGGAGGAGGAAGAGGGAGGAGGAGCGGGAGGAGGAGGAGGAGAAGGAGGAGGAGGAGGAAGAGGGAGGAGGAGGAGGAGGAGGAGGAGGAGGTCGAGGTCGAGGTCGAGGCGGGCGGAAGCGAAGCCTGTGTGTAGGTGTGTGTGTGTGTGTGTGTGTGTGTGTGTGTGTGTGTGTGTGTGTGTGTGTGTGTCTGTGTCTGTGTCTGTGTCTGTGTCTGTGTCTGTGTCTGTGTCTGTGTCTGTGTCTGTGTCTGTGTCTGTGTCTGTGTGTGTGTGTGTGTGTGTGTGTGTGTGTGTGTGTCTGTGTGTGTCTGTGTCTGTGTCTGTGTCTGTGTCTGTGTCTGTGTCTGTGTCTGTGTCTGTGTCTGTGTCACAGACTGTGTGTGTTTTCCCAGGGTTGCCTCTTCCTCCTCGGGCGGGCGAGGTCGAGGTCGAGGTCGAGGCGGGCGGAAGTGCATCGTGTGGGGGGGGGGGGGGCGCCTGGGGGCCGCGCCTGCCCCCCCCTCTGGGGACGCGGCGGGCGCTGGTGGCAGCTCCTCGAGGCGCCCGCGGGCCCTCGAGAGAGAGAGAGAGAGAGAGAGAAAAAAAAAAAAAGAGCAAATAATATATATATATATATATATATATATATGTATAGAAGGAGGAGGAGGAGGAGGAGGAGGAGGTGGAGGAGGAGGAGGAGGAAGAGGAGGAGGACGAGGAGGAGCAGGAGGACCAGCAGGAGCAGGAGGAGGAGGAGGAGGCGGAGGAGGAGGAGGCGGACCGATAGACAACCGCGGACCGATAGGGGGGGGGACCAGCTCCGGGGGGAAGCATCGACCTGGAATCGGCGATACATCGCCGATGAAGGCCACGGGCCCTCAAAAGGAGGGGTCTGGACGCCCGACATGGGTGCGGAAAGAATAGGTACACTGCCCAATAACACATGCTGTCCCAAACCAACAGCGGCCGCTCGAATGGACACAGGCCGCGGCGACACCGACAGCGAGTCCTGTGCAGTCCCTGTTCATTCTGAACGGGACTCGCTGTCGGTGTCGCCGCGGCCTGTGCCCCTTCGAGACGGACGGTCGCCTGCCCAACAGCGGCCGCTGTTGGTTTGGGACAACCTATGCTGTTGGGCATTGTACCCTCGGCGGTGGACAGACCTCCCTTTAGCAGACCTCCCCTTAGAGAAAACGACCTGGTACCGAAACCAACGGCCCTGGACCCGCAAAAAGGACGGCCGCGACGCCCTCTCGCGAACCGACAACGGCCAGTTCCTGAATCGACGTGTCAGGGTAGGAGGTCTGTCCACCCCCGATACTCCAGATTTCGTGATAAAAGGGAGGGGGTCTGGACCCTCCAAGACAAGCCATTTGAGACCTCCCCCGTGGGAGAACCCTCCAAAACATCGCCCCCAGACCCCCCCAGGCCCTCCAAGATAGCCTGGAAGAGACCCCCCCCGAAATGAGACCCCCCCTCCCTTTATTACGAAATCTGGAGTAGCCGGAGCCTCGCTCCCGAGGGGAGCCGTCCTCCGTCCGTGCCGCTGCTGCGCCGCTGCAGCCCTTTGGTAGGCGTCGGGCACGTGCGCGAGGAGAGCCCCGCTGCGAGAGCAGAAGCGCCCTCTGTCCGTGGAGCTGCTGGCGGTGCACAGGACGAGTGCGCGCGGCGCCGAGGCGATGTCCCATGTCGGGCGCCCCGAAAGGGGCCTGCTGGGACCACCGGGGGGGGGGGGCCTTCCCCGGGGAGCGCCCCGTTGTCCCCGGCCGGCCTCCGGCGCTCCCCGTGCCATCGCTCGGGCGCCCCCCTTCCCCGTGCAGCGTGTCGGCTCCCTGGAGGCGGACGTCCGGCCCAAACGTCTGGTTTTCGCATCTTGTAGTACTAGGGGGAAAACAAACCTACCTCGCTTTTGACCACCCTCGCTTCCAAGAGATACCAAACGATGCCAAATTGCAGCCTGTACTGGTCAGGCCGCTTGACGAGGAGGCGCGTGGTACGGCTTGGTTGTGCCTGGAAGCGAAAGCGGGGTAGGTAATTCACGTTCCAAAGTACATCGTTTCCCGAGCGGTGTTGGGAGAAAGCGCCCGCCACGACGCACGTACTATAAGATTTCTCAGTGCGCGCGTCGCCCCGTGGGGGGGGGGGGGGGGCGACGCACATATCGTATAAGTGTGTTGGGGTGACGCCGACAGACCTCTGCTCAGCGCGACTCCTTGCAGGAGTGCGTCCTCTGGGGGAGGGTACCCACCTGCTCGAAACGGGCGCCCAAAAACAGCGCCGACCTGCTCCATGGGGGGGGTGGGGGCGGCCCGCGCCAATCGGCGCAACAAGGAGTGACAAAACGACGACACGTCTTCGCCAGAGGGCCCCAACTCGTCACCGATGGCCCTCGCCGAGAGAAAAAACAACAAAAAATAACACCAACAAATAGGAACAAACGCGCGCGCCCGAACGATGCCGCGGGGGCCTCCTCCGCGGGGCGCGCCCCTCTCCTCTTGGGCGTTGGTAGAACTGGGTTTAGTGGAACCTGGTTCAATGATCTGTACCGGGGGCGCCCCCCCGCCCCATTTCCACTAACCGGAACTGCCGTCACCGGAAAAACACCAGCTATGGCAAACCTGGTTTAGTGATTCTGGCCAATTCGAAGGCTCCGGGGCCCTACCACTCACCGGGTCCCCTTACCCGGGGCCCTGGCCATACCCGAGTATCAACTGCATGCCGAGGGCTCCGAAGATCCCGTCCCTCCTCGGACCTTTGCTGCCCCGCTTGCCGGCGAGCGCGGGGGGGAGGCGGCGGTCAAGAGCAGAGCCCCGCCTCGGACCTTTGCTGCCGCAGACTGTACCGGGAGGTCTTCGTCGGAAGGATTGTGAGAAGAATTCAGCCCCGTTGGGGGGAGGTTGCGCCGCACAATGGGCCTCGGACGAAGCGGGATGAAGCTGGACTGAGCGGGATGAGGCGGGATGAAGCCAGAGTGAGCGGGATCGAGCCGGACTGGGTTGAATGTGGGACCAGGGCAAAATCAGAATTTGACCTCCCAGGAGTTGCATCCGAAAGTAGGGGCTCGACCCTTTCACAGGGAGCCTAATCCTGAGACCCCAGGGCGTCCATTGACTTTTCGGTGTGGGAGCGACGCGCTCTCCATGGCAGAACCATCGAAACACCCAAGGAACCCACGGCACCCCGGAGGCAAGCAGGGTGCTTCTTGGCATGGGCTTCCAATGTAGATGCCTTCCGCGCGGGGCGTCCGCGAAAACACTCCCCGCATCCGCGGGGTCGCGGCCCAGAGGGCCTGGCCCGCGAGGCCGCGGATACGGATATGCGCTTCGCCCACGACCGTCTTTTGACAGACCCGCGGCCCGGGAAGAGCCCAAGAGACCGAGATCGACGAGAAACCTCAGGAGCCGCTTCCCTTCGCTAGGTGGCGTCATCCGAACCAATCGGCTCTCCACCAGCAGCGATTCTCTTCCATCGATGGGAGGCGGGGGTGGGATTCGGATGTCGCCACGTGTTCGACGAATCCCGAACCCTACCCCCCCCGCTCGTCGAGTTGCCTGAATCGTTGATCAGCGAGAGTAGGGTTGGGATTGCGCCGCCGAAGGGAGGGCCCGAAAACGGCGAAAACCCCAGGACCCGGTTCCCTCCTCTGGTGCCCGTTACGTGGGAGCCCGCGTGGCCCACTTCGCTGTCCGATGTCGGGCCAGGTCTGGACCCAACGCGGATCGGATTCGCGCCGTCACAGGGGGGAGGAGGGGGAAAGTGGCGAGGAGGAGGAGGAGGAGGAGGAGGAGGCGGAGGAGGAGGGGAGAGCAGGGGGGAGGAGGGGGAAAGAGGCGAGGAGGAGGAGGAGCACGAGGGAGGGCCAGATGCGGTCCACGTGCGGCCCACGTGCAAGAACCCCTGGCTTTCTCGGCGTCGCCGCCCGAGGCTCCCGCGAACCGGGCATCGGCTCTATCCGATCACCACCTCCACCGGCGTGGGCCGGGCCCCACTGGCCGATGCTGCCCCCCTGGAGGGGGGCATAATTGGGCTGCTCTCCTCGGGCTTCGCGCCCCACTGAGGTGGCGAGGCGGTGGGGCCCGAGGCGCGGACGCCCGAAATGGGTACAGACAAAATGGGTCCAATGCCCAGCAACACATGCTGTCCCAAACCAACAGCGGCCGCCGTTGGGCAGGCGGCCTTCTGTCTCGAATGCACACGGGCCGCGGCGGCGTGGACGGCGAATCCTGCTCAAGATGAACAGGAACTGCTGTTGGGCATCGTACCCATTCTTTCCGGGTCGGGCGAAAGGGGGGGATAGCAAAGGGGGGGTTTGAGAATCAGCTCACGTAGCTCATTTTCCCCCATGTATCGAGGAGTTGGCCCCTCGGTGAGGCCGAAACCAGCTGCATGCAGCAAATTTCGTAACCCCCCCTTTCCCAATCCCCCCCTTTCGCCCGGCCCGGGCCCATCTCGTTTTGTGCAGAGAGGCTGCGGCCGCGGCGCCTGCCAGCACGGAGCCCGGCACGCAGCCGTACATGTCGAGCAGCCGCCGCAGCGACGACTGCGCCTGCCGCGCGCTCGCGTGGCCCGGGGCGCGCGGGCACGGTTTGGCCAAAGCCATGGCTTTGGCGCGCGGTCGCCAAATAAATACACACAAATAAATACACACAAATAAATTCGCCGGCCCAACGGGCCAGAGCGTGCTAAGATCTCCGGTACCTGGTTAACAGTATTTCTAGTTCGCGCGCGCGGGGCGGCCCCTGGGGGTCCCCGGACGAAAAGTACCCCGGCAAGGTCCCGGCAAGTCCCCGGCAAGGTCGGGTCAGAGATGCCGGAGTTCTGTTACAGGGCCCCTGGACGGGCCAAGAGGTCCCCAAGAAGCCCCCAAGACGGTCCAAGAGGGCCCCGAGACGGCCAAAGATCGCCCGAAGACGCCCAACAGGGCCCCAAGACAGCCCAAGAGGCCTCCAAGACGCCCCAAGGGCCTTCCAAGAGGCCTCCGAAGAGGGCCCCAAGAGGCCAAAATCGTTGATTTTCATTGTTTTTTTCTATGTTTTTTGCGTTCTGGCTTTTTCGGCTTCCGGACGCTCCAAGACGGCCCAAGAGGCCCCCAAGACCGCTCCAAGACGGCCCACGAGGCTCCCAAGACGGCCCCGGAACGGCCCAGGAGGGCCCCCAAGACGGCCCAAGTGCCGCCCAAGACGGACCAAGAGGCCCCAAGACGGGCCCAAGAGGGGCTCAAGAGGGGAACCGAGAACTGAAAAATCGAGCCCTCCGCCCCAGAAGGCGCCCAGGAGGCCCCAAAAAGGCCCCAAGAGGCCCCCAAGAGGCCCCCAAGACGCCCCAAGAGGCGCCCAAGAGGCCCAAAAGAGGCCCCAAGAGGCCCCAAAACAGCCCCCAAGAGGCCCCAAAACTCGGCTAGCCCACAACGGTGCGACAATATGGGCCGGCGGAATGAGCGAAGCGACTATAATAAACACAAATAACGGATTGGCCATGGGGCCTTGGGACACACAAATAAATACACACAAATAACAGGATTCCCCGTATTTTATTATCTGGGTTTTTGTCTTCCCCCCCCCCACTTCCCATATCTTCCGATATGTTCTGGGGAATCGGCGATTCATTGTGCCTGTTTTTTCCCCCTCCTGAAATCCATGGATCGAGGGGAGGTGCCCGCCCCAACGTGCGGCCGGTGCCGCCTCGCGCGGCGGCGGGAATCCGCGGTTTCCGACCCGTCGCTAATCCACGCCCGCTGAATCCACGTCTGCGATGGAAAGATTCATGGAGGCATGGCGATGGGCACCAACGCAAGCGCCAGGGTTGGGTCGGGCATGTCCTCCTACAGGCGGATCCTGGAGGAAAAGAGAGCAGTGGCTACAACATGTGCAACAGCATATACAGACATTGGAAAATGTGGCAAAACATCGCTCCCTGACTATTTTGTTGACGATGTTTGCATGCTCCTCCTGTAGAAGGACATGCCTAACTTAATACCAGGGGGTGCCACCACTAGGGGAAGATGGTCTTATATATTAGCGCTGGTGGTTGCAACCCTGCCACCCAGGAAGCCCGACTCTTATCACCATCGCCGAGATCGGGGTTCTCATCCCTCGGTGGAGGCACACCGCCGATATTGGTGCTGGTGTCATCCTCTAGGCCTTCGACCTTTCTGCCCAGACCCCTCGGACCATGGAATTCATCCCGACGCGAGGCTCTTGTATTCGGCCTCTGGGAGCCCTCGACGGGCCTCCGTACCGTCGAAGAACAAGACTCGAAACGAGGAGCCGGTCCCAGGGAATGGCCGAGAGACCGGGGTCGACGTTGTGAACCAATTGAGATGTCAGGGGTCTGAGTGGGCGATCGACCCTGACATCATACCCCTGCTCACACCCCGACCCCACGAAGGGCCAGAGCGGCGGCATATATCGGGCGTTGGCAGAACTGGGTTTAGTGGAACCTGGTTTATACCGGGGGCGCCCCCCGCCCCATTTCCACTAACCGGAACTGCCGTCACCCGAAAAACACACTTTACGGCAAACCTGGTTTAGTGAATCTGGCCAATTCAGGGGCCCCAGGGCCCTACCACTAACCGGGTCCCCTTACCCGGGGTCCTGGCCATACCCGAATATAGGCAAAAGTCCGGCCTCTGGAGCCACGCTTTTGCTCCGTGCCCTGCGGCCCCTGGGCCGCAGCAGGGGCACGACTCGAACACCGGACGCCGACGATCCCCCGGGGGGGGGAATCTGGCGGCTCACAGTGGGGGGGGACGAGGGGAAGATCGACTTTGACTACCTACCAGACCACCCCAACCCAACCCGAAGACCCGAATTTGACCTGAATTTCGGGTTGGGGGGGGTACGGGTTCCATGTGTTTTTTCAACGTTCCTCGACCCCCCCCCACTGGAAATGGAGGGCAAATTGATGCCTTCAGGTTGGGTTGGGGTGGTTTGGTGGGTGGTGAGACTTGGCCTCGGCGATACGTCGCCGACAGGTCGGCGATAGGCCCCCGGTAGCGAATCCGCACGCTCCTGGACAGGGCGGGCTATGGGGCCCGTAGCGGCGATCAGTGGGCGATTGGTCGGGGTCGATGCATCCCCCCTCTGAGCCTATGCCCCCTAAGTAATGTTGCCGCTGACCCGGACTTCCGACGTCATGATTTTGTCAGAGCTTCGACCCCCAAATCAAGAGGTCTCGACACATTCCCCGGGACGGGCTTTTCATCCTGGGCCGCCGTTTGTCGGTCCCAGGGCCTGGCGAGGGCCCCCAGAGGCCGAAAATAGCCGAAAACCTCCCGTCGTGATAAATTCCATGACCCGAGGGAGTCTGGAGAGGTATAAGTGCCATTGGGCGCGCAACGAGTGGGTCCCCATGGAGCTGCCACGAGAAACAGCGACGGCTATGCGGCCGAATGTGCACCCCGCTCCGTCGCCACTGCGGCAGCCGTGCAGAGACAGGGTCTATGCGCAGCTCGAACTAATGTTTGTGTTGCTTGCCATAACGCCTGTGACCGGCCCCGCCACCCCGCCCTCCCCCCTTCGGCGATAACTCACGGGCGCCTCCCATGCCATCTTGCTGACTCCTGCGAGATCGACGCTGGACGGCGCTAATCTACGCTAAATCGGCGCTGTCTCGTAGACTACCAGACGCTAATCGACGCAGTCCTTTCCGAAGACGACATGTCGAAGGAAAAAAAGGTCCCATGAATTGATACCGAACCCCCTGGCAGGTCACGACCCTCGCCAGCGCGGTCGCGGAACTGGCCATTCCGAAGCATTCCCAGGCGGCGCCTGCGCGAATCGTGAGACGACGGGCCTCTCCCCCCCCGCCTCCCCCACTCCCCCGGTCACGCCCGTGATGCCAGGGGATACAACCACAGCCTCTTCAACACAGAGAACCCCTGGGATCCTCAACCAGACCCCCGACGTCATGATTTTTCATAGCGTCGACCCCGACCCATTTCCCGGGACCGGCTCTTCATCCTGGGCCGTCTCTTGACGGCCCTGAGCCCGGCGAGGGCCCCCAGAGGCCGACAATTGCTGAAAACCCACCGCCTTGATTTTGTCATGACCCGCGGTGGTCATGGACACAGGCAGGGGAACGAACAATGACATAAACATAAAAACTCGGAGGTCCGCACGGATTTCTCGGATCGGGGCTGGACCTCCCTCTGGCGCGCGGAGCGCGCCAGGGGCGGCGCCGGAGGCGCCGCCAAGGGGATCCAGCCCAGATCCGAGAAACCCGCGCGGACCTCCGAGTTGTCATGTTTATGCCATGGCTCGTTCCCGCAACAGCGAACCCCGAATCGGCAGAAACCGGCAGGCCATAGTAGGCCTTCTCTCGGAGAAACCGACATCCGACGAACCCCGAATCGGCGGAAACCGGCAGGCCATAATAGGCCTCCTCTTTGAGGAACCGGCATCCGAAACGGAACCCGAAGTCGAGTCGAATCGGAATCGGAGGCCATCGAAATCGAGTCGCACCGAAGCGGGGGAATCGAGAGGAGCCCCCCGGGGAACCCCCGCCCTGCCGCCGAGACGGGGCCAAGATGGAGTCGGGCGTATCCCCCTCTACAGGGCGATTTTCGACGAAAAATAAAAGATACTCCAAACATAATCCAAAATGGTCAAAAATATTCCAAAAATAGTCCCCATACTATTTTGCGATTCTGTTTGAATATTCCTCCTGGACACTATCCAACAATACTCCAAAAGTACTCCAAAATGGTAAAACAAAGATGCTAAACAAATAGTCCCCAGACTTTTTTGTTTAAAGTATGTTTGAACTTTCCTCCTGTGGAGGGACGGGCCCGACTTGAGGCCAAGACGCAAAAACGCCCGCGCCCCGGGGTGGCGGGCCTCCCCGGCGGCGTCTCCGAAGCGGCAGCAGGCCAGGGAGCGCGGTCGTGAGGGGGCCCCGGGACACACGCCAGCAGCCCCGGGTGCCCCTCGTGTTCACAGCTGCTCTGGATGTTCGTGTCCCCCCCCACTTCACATGCTTCCTCACATGTTCACGGGGATCGACGAGTCATTGTGTCTGTGCGCGTCTATGTGTGCATGTGTGCATGTGTGCATGTGTGTATGTGTGCGTGACGGCGTGTTTTTTATTCTTCTTTGTGTGTGTGGTGTGTGTGAGCGTGTGTGTGTGTGTGTATACGTGTTTTTTGTTTGTGTGTGTGTGTGCGTGACGGCGTGTTTTTTATTCTTCTTTGTGTGTGTGGTGTGTGTGAGCGTGTGTGTGTGTGTGTGTATACGTGTTTTTTGTTTGTGTGTGTGTGTGTGTGTGTGTGTGTGTGTGTGTGTGTGTGTGCGTGTCTGCCCTCCTGAAGTCAAGGCGCACAAGAAGGATGCGCGGTAAGGATGCAAGGGCCTTGGGAGGACACGATTCTCGAGCGTGGCGCGGCCAGCGAACGTCGCCAAGGATGTGCCGAAAGGGGCAAGGGCACAAGAGTCACTTGGCAAGTTGCTCATCCTTACAGTGCGCTTGGACGGATTAGTAGGGGATGTGTCGACCCCTGTCCCAGGCTTCGTGGGGTCCTCGACAGGACCAGAAATTGATGGTTTAACT